ATTGCAAGAGCCTAAAATACGTGTACAATTTGCTAGAACTCAATAAAAAAAGTAAAACATATAATGCCTGAATCGTAGTTTTGAGTTTACTGTAAAAAAGTAAGACATTTTCATCAGGATCAAAGGGAAAATGATTTAAATGACCAAGGCGTGAGAGGTGGTCCAATAAGGATGAATGATATCCCATGGTCTGAGATGGAAGCCGACTTACAAAGATGTATCGGTCAGTCATTTATTGATGATACAGATCCACAACTAGTTTGGATTTGGCGTAATAAAGGTACAGTTCTTTGATAACATGAATATAGTCATTCAAAAGCTGAAATTTGGAAACTGGAAGACATTGTAGATACTTGTGTTGCATCTCAGTTTTTAATGTGCTATGTATGAATAAGTGTTTGAAAATAAAAGATACATACAGTGTACTATGTTTTATATGCAATACATATTTGTCCTTTCGACTTAATAAAATAAATAAGTCTTGTGTTCAATATACAGTTGATCTTGCTACATAATATGCAACACCTTAAAAAGTGAGAGATAATGTTATATAATGTCAGGATTCAACACATGGCAGAACTGTTTTTCCATTCCACTCACAGCAAAGGAAAGAGGAAATATTGATATATGCTTTAAAAACGGTCAAATATTTCTGAAAGAGAACAAGTGTCAAAAAACAAAAAAATCATTTGTATATGATAACCTAAGGACACACACCTAATAATATCTTTTGAAGAATATGTACTTATTTATGTTGAAGACATTGGGGACATTCCTACTTTTATCTCTTTAAAAGTCTCCTGTAGACATGCAAGACTTTGACGTTATCTCTTAGGTCCTTAATTTCACTTTAATTGATAAAGTAACGAGATTTGTCTCAAAAACATGTCCTTCTATATAAAAACTGAAAAAGTAATGACATTTTAGGAAATGTTTGACCTGAAGTAACTTCTCTTTAAATCAGCACATTTTATATTTTTCCATTCAGAATGCCCAAAGCCATGGACGCCATTTGTTGAGCAGAGGAATTAGTGCAGCAAGCAATATCACTCATAGTTAAAAACACTAAAGCATGATGCCATTTTACAAGTATTAAATGATAAAAAAAGTTCTAATGTGAGATTGAATCTCCTATAAGATTAGATTAAATGCAAAAGAAGATATTCTGTTCATTCTGTTCACTATTAGATATTATCCATTTTCCTTTATCAATTTAATCTTTTCTAAGACGTGTGCCTTTTGTCATGACTTTTGTTGGAAAAAGACGTTTGTTTCTGAATTTAAAACAAATATAAAGTCTATTCATAATTATTTTTGCAAAACAAATCGTTAATTAGGAAATTAAAGTATAAACTAAATCTTCTGTGGTCCCGCGCGTATAATTACTGTCATATCTGAGAGCATTAGTAAATTTCACATCAGATTTGTACAGAATTGCAATGTGATCACCTACCAATTGCATCCCTCAAATGGCCAAATGGCCACAGAGAATAACATCAACAAATTTCATGAAGAAATGTTTAGATGATTTTCAAACACCTCTATATAGTTCTCTTTCATGTTTGCACAATAGACTTTAATGGCAATTGTAAATGAGGAATATCAGAAGATGAATCGTCACCAGATTTAGCTTACAGCATGTTTGCAACTCCTTCTGAAAGATAAACACAATGAGTGAGAATGTGTATCATTTAGTTAAAATGTCTTGATTAAAATATTCCTAATGTTTAATATAAAATTGCATACAATACAGCGTGTTTTTCTAATGTTTTACGTAGCACCAAAAACTAGAGCTCGAGATCATATAACTATTGTCCGTTTAATTGATGGAGTAAAACCCCAGGTGCCCCCTCTATTCATTACTTTAGGTACAAACCGGAACCAGTAAAACCACGACGTTCCGTAAAACTGATTGAATATGAAAGAATTCAAAGTCCCTAATGGAATTCGAAACAACATCGATTTAGGGGAAAGGTGGTTTGAAGACAACGACCAGTCGGTCAGCCACGAACGCCCTGAAATTATTGTCAATTGTTCTTTGCTTTTGTGAATAGATACTGACAGACGTTGTTTTATATTGATCGACATATTGTCGCAAAGACAACGACAGGAAACATCATAAAGAAGGCAAACATAAAATTGTCCTCAACGGTGGCGTAATTGTTTTAGTATGATGTCAGTTACGACGAGTAATATATTTTAAAATCTGCTAGTGGCTTTTCTATTCCTGACGTGTTACCATTTTTCAACACATAATAAATTTATTAGATTAAAGAAATTTCTTTGTAAAGTATTGCAAAAAGTTCAAGGTTGAGAAATCTTTTCTGGAATGGCCCTATTTGACCATCAAACTTTCCATTCATCCATCAGTTAAAGTTTAAAAATGCTCTTCAATTAAATTAATACTATTACTCTAACATATTTGTTTCCTTGAGTGAATATGATATTTCTCAGAGATACGTGAGAAAACAAATGCAATATTTTCTAAGTTCATTTATTGTCGCAGTTCCTGGATTGGATATATACTTATAGAATAGAAAGAATTTTACTCGTACACCGTCTGTCCTATCAGAATGGATAATTTTATACCACATGATAACAAGATGGACGGCATATGGGGCACGCTATCCATCACGTTTTTGTCGGGTTCCCTACATATTTAATTAAATACTATCTTCTTGTAAGAAGGTCGAAACGGTGTTTAGGCTCCTGCGGGGTAAACAATATTTGGGAAATTTCCTCTTCAAAGATGAAACATAAGCTTAACTCTTCTTCACGAAAAACTATTTTTCCAATACCCGACCAAACGGCGATTCCTAGCTTTCTCAATGCTACAAAATGTACTTATTAGGTATCATATGAAGACAATTGAACATTGTTGAACCAATGTATTTGTGATTGACATTAGTGTGTACTATTCAAGCCTCTCCTTTCAGCTTATATGCAAGCAGATTACGCATCCATTTACTACATATCTATTTTATTTTCAAATCACGGATTATATTTGGGCTGGTCAAAATTTGATGTTTACAATACAAGCTACTAGTATTATACTAGCTATTTCCTTGCTTTAGTAGCATCTATTTATTTTATCCCAGCCATAATCTTGAAAGACATCGATGTTTTCGGCTGTCCATGAGGTCATTGTTATAAAAAAACAGGAGCTAATTAACATTTTAATTAAAAAATGGAGTTTTGTTGTGACCATGAGACAACAATATACAAAGTAAACAACTTAAAACTTTCCCGCAGAGCTAAACAAACACAAAATCGTACGGACAGGCACACATTCAACATCTTCGGAACAAACTATATTCTGTCATTCACATGCCAAGTGTACTGCCATATTCAGAGACCTGCAGGCATTAGTCAATGCGTCACGAAAAGACTTTATCAAAGCACAGAAGGCGCTGAATTTGTTTGGGTCTCAGAATATCAGACAGGTGAAGGTTGTGAGATTATAAACCAATTTGTTTTTGTATAGTGCCACCAATGCTTTCCAGTGTTTTAACTGTAGTAAATTGGCTATAAGACTAATTGTAACACTGATAGTCAATTCAATGTTTATTTGACTTAAAAAAAATTTAAAAAATGAGTTACCTCAACTGGGATTTGAACTCGGGACCTCTCGATTCATAAGCGAGCGTGCAAACCCCCTCAGTCACGGTGAAGTCATATGTAAATGGTCTGAAGAAAACCATATAATTCTAAATTAGGGTTTGTAACTCTTATTATTTCGACCCTAAACACAGATGTAAATAATCATGGAGCTTACTGTAAGCATGTATATCTATAAAGAATGAAACAATATTAGAAATCATCGAAACCACCTTTCTGGTGATTTTCGTGACAATTGAGACAAAAATGCAACCGCTAGAGTGTTAACAAACTAAGAGTGGACGGACGTGTGGCATTCATCGATCCTTATAGCCAACCCTAAGCCAGTGGCTCAGGTGAGCTAAAAGGTTCCATCGTTACGCAGCAAATATCGCATATTATTTCTTCCGTAATGTATGAAAAAAAATGTTTGACACGCTTCATTCTGATGAGAAAAAGATCTTTTATGGGATAAAAACGGCAAATAAAGTTTAATTTATCTAATCTGAGACCATGTCAATAAAAAGCCTTCTATCCACTTCTAATGAAACTCTAGACAATCAAGAAACAAGCATATCTTAAACTTTCTTTTAAAACATCATACATCAGACAAATATACCGGTATTCGAATATAGCAAATACACTTCAACGATTTTGGTGCAACTCTCTAAGAGAAAAAAAAATCAAAAAAAAATCTCTGTGCTTATATTTTTACTAGAATGTCGAAAAATAAAACTGTCAAAAGCAATCTCTTACAAACACTGTCGACTCACTCCGACCTTACTCTTCTCAAAATTTAAGTAAAGACATCAACACAGGCGAACGTTTCACTAACTAAGTTTTGCGTATCTTTTTACATAAATTTGGACTCAAAAGTCTATGTAAAACTCTACTGGTCCTTCATTTACTCACCGAATAGATCAAATAATTGTTCTCCTTTATAACCAAAAATAAGTATCATTTCTACTATATAGATATTTATCAGCACTGGTTATTTTAGGAGTTATTCTTACCTTTTTTAGATCAACAGCCATATCATGTCACTTTTCAGTTCTCTCCTTTATAATATCATCATTATTTCTGTACAAATGTAGGTGTTAAATGTTTTTTATTCGACAACCATAAAAGTTGTTACATCGAACCTACAGTTGTTATAAATCACCTTTCTCCAATATTTTGTCAATGTTATTTAATTTGACATCTTTGTATATAACATATTCTTTGTTTATTAAGCATTTCAAAGATATCTTTTCAAAACGCCGCTTAATTGTGAGCTGAAAAACACTTGTTAGGAAAATAACTTTATTGTAATATTCATCATTGTATGTTATATATGTTTGTGCAAAATGTTTGAAATAAAACATGACTTAACTGAAGTCGCAAATAAACCTAGGGATGTCAATATGCGGAAGATTGCGGTAACGTAATTCAAATAAACATGCTTTCAGCACTAATTGATTAGTAGAAATATTTCCAGTGTAGTCGAGGACACAGAATTGGGCACAACATTGCAAAATGTATGAATAAATACTCTTTAATTTCTTATTTCATATAGTGAGGAATTTGGATATCAGTTGTAATAGTAGCTTATTTACAAAAAAAAACACATAAAGATTTATGTAATTGTTGTTATCTATTTCTTTCTGTACTTTATAATTCTAGAAATAATATAAATTTGTCTGTGATATCTTTATAAAATTAAGTACTATTCATTTTTTTCTGTTTGACATTAATTTGAAAACTTTGGAAGTAAAAAAAAATTATTATTTCATCTGACTAAAACGGCATAGCCTAAAGGATCTTTAAAAAGTAATTGTTTTGCAGACAATGCTTCGTTAAGTAAGTTTCCAATACATTTTTTTTATTTAAGGTTGATCTGTGTGTGGTACCCACAAAGTCCTAACTTCAACCACTTCTTATCAAGAAACCATTTTGTTTACCCTCCTAATACAACACCAGCTGACCCGGGAACTACGCCTAATGTTATGACTTTAAGCGAGGAAGATGATAAACAAGCTGCGGAGAAAGGTATCAAAATTCCCAGTGATGACTGTGTTATAACTTGGGATCAATTTAATGAACATGTGAGTATTACGAGTACAATTTTTGTTCTTTATCTAATGATACTTGAAAACACTTTTACATTAAATACAGAATTTGAAAAAAAACCACAATAATTTCAGAGATATTCGGTTTACAAATAATCATTAGAAATCGCAATTTTGACTGTTTTTCTCTCTTTTTTCCCTTTACTTTATGGGAAAACTGGAATCAAATGATCACATGCTAAAGCTGTGCGATATGATAAGTGTGATACTGTTATATCTTGTTGTTTAGTTTTCTTGTTTAGCTCGATTCGGATTGAAGATTATTTGAACCAGTTTATTTAAGTGTAGATATTAATACTTTCTATACAGTTTTATTGCTAATATGATCGATGCTTATGTTTCACAAACATTAAATTAAACAAATAGATCAAAGACAGAGACTGGATAAACGTGTATGCAGTAAACAATGAGCAAGTGACGGGTGAGCTCTTGAAATATTCTACAATCTGGACGGTAGTGAGTGACACTGTCATTCGAAGAAGAACTAGTTTCTGGTAAGGCATTTACTGAATCTTTTCCCATCTGATATTCGCTTGTCTGAAATTGAAGATGTAAGAAAATATAAGAATACGATATTTTGAACGTACCGAGTGCCTTTAAATTCGCAACTGTATGTGATTTGTGAACAAAAAAAGACAACTGGTACTACTGGTTTGATATCTATATTCAGGGATTCAATTGTGAAGGGGTGTGTGTATGGCGATAATACATTTGCACGAATTCACGATTCACGAGCGATTTTTGTATCTCAAACCGGTAAGTGAAAAAGTGCAGTTTACGTAATTTTTTTAACTATTTGGTTTTAAGTCACAGCGACACTATTAAGGTCACGTTGCGATTTCATAGCTTTAACAGTGGTAAAGGGGGAGTGAGTAGAAATACTGACGTTCTTTAGTCTAGCTAGCTAGATTCATCATTATTTCAAATCCTTGGCGGGACACAAAACCAAAAGAGTTAACCCATGACTTCATAAGCATTTTGTGAAAAATGGCTGTTTTCATTGAAAAGTCTCCCGTTACAAGTTCAAATTGCTATAAAACTATAAAAAAAATGCTTCAATACTAATCAAACTTGGCACAAATGTTGACTGGACCATTAGCTTTGTAACAACATGCTCAGGCTTAAATTTCCTGTAACCATGGCAACGAGGGGACATCTCAAAATTGCCAAAAATCACTATTTTGCGTGATTTTTTCCATCAAAATTGATTTCAAAGTGCTGCAACTTCTCAATGGATTGAGATAGAGTCAAATGCTTTTCAGCGTTCGTTACACGTTACCTTATGATCGATCTGGGGTCATTTTTAGCCTCTCACAAGTCAAATATTTTCCTGGCGATGAGGAGGACTGTCGCCCCCTTCAAACCCCCCACACAGAAGGGGGCACATCCCCCTTCTGGCAACCCCCTGCATACGTTTTCTAATAAGGCGAAAGTTTCAATTAATTTTGACTAACTGTAATTTAATTTATATAATATAACTAGTCTTGTTATAAATACACTGTTAAGTGAATTGCATTAATTCAAAATTTTACTATATTAAGTTAAATTCTGCTTGAACCGTTCTGGAGATCTGGACGCGGCTTCCTTTTAAATAATTCAAGTCCATGGCAGACTCAATCGAGTCTGTAACATTTTCAATTTTGTCGTTTTGGGCGTTTCTTAAGGATTCCCTTATCCATTATTTTGTATTGAATGTAGTTTAGTCACCATTGAATTGCAATTTCTATTTCACATTTTTTTGTGGTTATAATATTTCAGGAAATTTGGTCGCACTTCCAACTAGAAATGACTATTATGTGAGCTCAAACCCAGAGAAATACTTCTTCTATTTTGTATGTATCGATAATACAGAAGTTGTTGATGGTCGTTGCCCATCTTCGATTATTTTAGTGATGATCAAAGTAGGTTCCGTTTACGTAGTTGTTAAAAGAAATTTATTTTAATTGGTAAACTCATTTGTTGTTATTCATGGGGTAAATTTTACAGAAACGTTTTAACGTCATATACTGCTATAAAAATAAATACTAGTATTTGCATTTATTGGCATAAAGGGTCTGTTAATTATATACATCTATGTACGTACATCTATGATATTTTAAAATTAACAAATAAAATGTCTTCCCTAGGATCAAAGAGAAAATGATTTAAACGACAAGGGCGTGAGAGGTGGTCCTATTAGGATGAATGATATTCCATGGTCTGAGATAGAAGCAGACTTACAAAGATGTCACCGTCAGTCTTTTATTGACGATACAGATCCTAAAGTTGTTTGGACTTGGCGAAATGAAGGTACAGATTTTTTCATTCATTACCATATTTATTCTCAAGCATCACATTATTTGGTTAATTGATGGCACTATTTTGAAAAATATTTTTTTTAGAAATGGTGGACCTGAAATTTTTCATAAACCTTAATATGATTTTATTACACCTTTTATGTTGTTTTATTTTACTATTCAGAATGTCCAAAACCGTGGACACCAGCCGCTGAACAGGGGAAATAGGGCACTCATATCGGAAACAGAGCACTTATATCGGATATAGGACACTCGTAATGGAAAAAGGGCACTAATATCCGAAATAAGGCACTCTGATGTACTATTAGAACTTTATTAAATACATAACTGAAATGATAAAGATTATCGCATGTTGCGGCGATTTGTCTTTGATGTTCCTCAGTTTTAATACGCCAGTAACATGCTTCATTGGTTGCAACGCACAGTGAGATCTCAGATAAAGCATACTTCTTTAGAAACTAGAAATTTGGTCGCAGCAAAAATGTCTTCCTTTACTGCCATCTACACATTAAGGTTGTTTATCCCTGGAAGTTTAAACAAAATCTGCCATCCGGTTTAATAGGAGTTGCGTTCACAATATTTCTACATAGTATATAGTGAAAAAAAATCAACAAAGGGCCATAATTCTGTTAAATTTGGTCGCAGCAAAAATTCCTTCCTTGTCTACCATCTACACATTAAGGTTGTTCATCCCTGGAAGTTGAAGCAAAATCTGCCATCTGGTTTAAGAGGAGTTGCGTTCACAAAATTTCTATATATAGTATATAGTGAAAAAATCAACAAAGGGCCATAATTCTGTTAAATTTGGTCGCAGCGAAAATTCCTTCCTTTACTAACATCTACACATTAAGATTGTTCATCCCTGTAAGTTGAAGCAAAATCTGCCATCCGGCTTAAGAGGAGTTGCGTTCACAATATTTCGGGACGGACGGACAAGTGCAACGCTATATGCTCCAACATTGTGGGGGCATAAAAAGTGTGAATTATTTCAAATAAGGCACAGTGTTATCTAAGTTCACTTGGTTCATGTAAAAGCGTGACCGTAGACAAATACACAAGGGTCACTGGACGGTACTAAAATTAAGGCTGGAAAAACAACGAATATATTCAGATTGGGAAAAGATATTTGGGTACTGGGGATATGGCTGTTAGTTTAAAAAAGTTTTGTCTGGGACTTGAAAGTACTTTTTTATAAACCTTTTAATCCTTTTTTTCCTGAATGTAATTTGGTGCAAGGAGGCACTACATGTATAAACATATTCATGGGTAGATACACTAGCAATATTTGCAATGTCAAGTCCCCGAAAAAAATAACAATAATAGTTTTCATTGAAAAAAGATTTAAATCCATCTTTTGGCATGCCATTAAAACAAATGCTGATCAAACGGCGGTTAGCGTCATACTGGTGCGTCACAATCATATACAGAAATGTATTTGTCGGTCGTCATTCAACCAATCAGGAACACCCACTGTACTTCTGATAGGCTCTCACGTTATGGGGTTTGCAATGAAAAAAAAATCGGTCATTTACGGCGTCGGGAAAACTCCTCGATGTCGTCCCAGGCCATGATATTTCCACATAACAGTCTGGTCGCTATACTACAACTATAAGATATTTAATGATAACTTACTCCCATTCATATTTAATGTTCTCACTAATAGTCATTCGTTTTTTTACCGGAATGTTTGTCTATGGCGAACAAATGAAAGATTTATTTGTAACATTTATTCTTAGAAAAGTTGTAAGGATTTTTTCACATGTGATATGGCCATGTGCAAGATTATATGACCCGAGACACCGGGCAATTGATACACGGGTTAATAGTCCGTGAAGCCTTTATAATGGTAATAGAATTAATGATTTTTTTTAATAAAATCAACATCCATAGAAACAATAGCTGAAGTCATATACACCTTTTATATCAGAGTGACATAGACAATCAAACGAGATAAGAATTTGGCACTAGGTCTATATCTCGATAAATGTGGAAAAAAAACTTGTGTTCAGTCTGTCATTTACAAAAGCTAGCTAATTATAATTTCTGGGCAGTTTTGAAGTTTATGTAAGAAGAATGCGAATGTTACCATGGATCATAAAACAATATCCAATAAATTTGATTTCTTTATGCATATATGCAAAGTTTTATTTCAACTTCAAAGAAGTTTAAATTAAATCATTTAAGGTATTTCAACACTGGAAAGTATTTGGAAAGTTACAAGCCCCGTCTGATAAAGGCTCCAACCTCCATCCAATAAACGACTTAAGCACAACTCAAACTATACATCATATTTCAAGTGTTAAATCTGGAAGATCCCTCGAGAGCACCGAAAACAATATAAACATAGGACAAAAAGACCTTTTTTCAAATGAATCTGATCATGATTGCAATAACCCTCGGCACCATTGTTCTTGCGTAAGCAGTATTTAATCTTCATCTATTTTGTATGTGATTCATAGATGTACTACATGTTTCACTGCTCGACGTTTAATTTTGAAATGAATTTCAACCGAAGATATATAAAAGTGAGCTCTCGACCTCAAGTCAATAAGCAAAGAAGAAAAAGAAAAGTAAAATGTATATGTTTATCCGACAGCTAGTCATGACATCTATATTTCTAGTGGTTTGATTATTCTCTGAATGTAAAAACAAACAAACATAAATAAACATTTATTGACGTTTCCTTGTATACACAGTATAGCTATGGATTAAATTGCGTTTTGGCAGCTGGTTTTCTAAGAATACCCTTCAACCACAAATATATGATTCAGCTGGTTTTCTAAGAATATCCTACAAACACAAATATATGATTTTATAAGTGTGAACATTAATTATTTCTTTTGGTTTTCCTTAATGTGAAAATATATCCTATAAATAATATTTGAATTTGATAGATAATGTCTATGTTTTTCTAACACATCTAACAATTACATGTATCTTTGACCTGCTGTTGATAAATATAGTTATTATAAATATACATAAATGTAAATCGACGACAAATGTATGCATTCTCATGTAGAGGAATGATTTGTAAATCATGATACTTTAGTTAAATTAGTATATACTTTTGTTTGTTTGTTTCATTTTACGCCTTTTCCCCAACAGTATTTCCGTCATATAGGCGGGTAGTTTCCTAACCAAAGTATATACAATATACCAATCAAATTACACGTACTCCAATGCCATTTCAACTTTTTATAAGACTATTTAGGAGACTGTTTATGGAAGAAAATAACGAAAATATCAACAGTAACTGTGAGTCATTCTATGAGACGGGTCTTAATCCCGTTGTGATAAAAAAAAAGAGACTATGAATTGTTAAAGTTATTCGTCTGATGCTACAAAACAATGAAATAATAATGTGATTTTTCATGTAGATTTTTATCGTTACAAGTAAGTTTTCTTTTTATTTTCTATTGCGTTTAACGTTGCACCAGCACAGTAAATGCCATATGGCAACTTTCCAGCTTACTGATGAAGGAAGACCGCAGGTACCCCACCAAGCGGGCACCGAGTTGAGCCACCGACGATCCGTCAGCTAACTGGATAGCTTCCTAACAGCGTTGAGGGGCAAGTGCTTTGAATTTAATGACATAAACACTCGGCCACGGAATACATAAATAATGAGAAAAATATACCAAATTAAGTCGTATGATATTATTGGAATATAAATCCTAAGATTATCAAAATATAATCACGGGGAGAACACATTTGTCAAGCTAACAATCCATATACATTCAATTGAAAAATATACAATTGCTGACCATACTTTTTCAAAAATGAAACAAAAATAAAAAAAAACATATACATGTAATGAAATATGCATGAAAGACACAGTAGAAATACTTTTGACACAAGACTTGAGGAAATATATATAGTTTATATTAAAATCATACTGAATAATTTAATAAATAACTGAATGAATAAAGTATCATTCACAATACATGTAAAGAATATCTACACCATTCGACTACGTGTGCTTAAATAAGAAAAAAACACATGAAATAACATCGTCCAGAACCATTTGATACAGCAAGAATTTTTGAAAAGTTATCTAAAGATACTCATTCACTTTCTTATATGTCGGTTACTTATTACTGCCTCACAAATCATTCATTTACTGCACACGCACACGCACGCACACACGATCACACACAGTGACAAACAAACACGCAGGTCATAAGCATACGACATGCTGAACTGTGCACAACCACAGGTACATGTACATACATTAAAGAGTAAAATGTTTAAATTATAAATGGTTGATTTACAAAATATGGGACACTTTTAGTAATAAAGAAGATCATATGAGGTCCAAAAAACTAAAGTTGTATTGCTTACATAACTCAATTGGGATACTTAAAACAAAAAATATGCAAAACAATAATAAAGGAATATAATAAAATAAAATTGAAATTCGGTTTTTATTGTGTTATTTCTAGCTTGGTTTGAGTTAAAACGATATAAACGCTTTTAATTTTTTAGACATTTTGCAAATTAAAATAAAAAAATTCTTGTAAACGTAATTAGCGAATGACCTGACGTTTTGTACACAAGTTAATTGTTTAGAGGTACATCAATCTGGAGACAAAGATCGTTAAAATATCTTCAGTCCCGTAATGTCCAAAAATACTCTGTGAAGTCCCTTTATTACTATCAACAAATACATTACAACGATCTTAAAATGTGAAAGAAATCATTTTGACAGACTCAACTGCATTTCTACTCACAACGTCTGCATCCTTCACATGGCATCTCTGCGACGCTCAACAACACGCCGAAGATCATCTAGCGTAAACGCTTCAATATTGAAATTAGCCTTTTTCCATTGTTTGTATGTATTTCCTTGTCCGTTCTTATTGACAACCCTGAAATTCTTTATTTTGAGTAAAGGAAATTCTGCATGTCTATACTCGCACACACCGCCAAGTTCACGTTGACAATCTATGTTTCCACAGAATATAGCACCATCAAATTTTAACTCATCATCTATAAATCTTGGATGCGGATTTCGGTAAGAAATCAGCCTGGTTGATGCTGCTTCATCAACTACCACGTGATGAGCTTCTTGAATTTTACGTATGTCAGATAAGAAGCAAATGAAATGGTTGCAATTTAAACATCTAAATTCATGCTCGTCATTTGACATGTTAAGTCGGCGTTCTTCTTCTTTAAGTTCTTCCTGGAGCTTCTTCTCTTCCTGCATCTCTCGCATTTCTTTTTCCCAAAGGTTTGGATGATCTTCTATATAAACCTGCAATTCTGGTACAATAGCATTCATGATCTTTTCCAGAAGTGCATTTTTTTCTTCCTTTGCCACGATCCAAGAACCTTCTTCTGTCAAAACGTAATAGCGACTGTCCTGCCGTCTTGCTCGTCCTTTTAAATAGAAAACACATATGGCATCATTTATTTAAGTTGTAAAATCAGACTATAGAAATATGAAGCATATGTTATTCATCATGGCAATCATATATCCAATATATGTTTTATTGTTTAGTATTTCAAAATTTACCTCTTGACTGAAGTCGCACAATTTCGTTTGTGACGTGCTCATATCGAATGACAAGGTTGCATTTTGTGATGTCCAATCCTTCTTCGGCTACAGAAGTTGCAATTATTATTTTGTGACGCCCACCATCGAAATATTCCAAAACGTCTTTCTGACCAACTTTCGTCATGCCTGTAATTATTGGAAATTTATAGAAGAAGGTAAATAGTTTTTCAATAACAAATAATTGATTTTATAGAGTACTCATTTTAAGCTGTCTGTTGTAAATCATGTTTATTTATTCTTGTCTTTCTTAGTATACACATATTGTTGTGAAAATTATGTTGTAAAAAAAGTCACATTTTAACTATAACAATCGAACCAATGATGGAAATTTCTATGTAGCCAAAATGTCATTTTGACAACCTTAAGAGAATATAAAATAGAAATTAAAATTTACTAACCTCCTTCCGCTTTGGACGCAGCTTGGCCTACAAATTCTGAAGCATTAAGTGTATCTAGAGGAGCTGTTTGCTTCATCCAATTAACCAAAGCTTGCGCTAATTCTCTTGTCTTCACAAATATAATGCCTCGAGCATCCTCATTTTTGTCAAATATTTGCATAACAATTGTTTGCATTTCTACTAGCTTTGGATTTTCTGGCTCATCAGTAAAACTTTGTTGTTTTAGATCTACGAATAAAAAAATATCCAAATGAACAAGTAGTCTGATTTTACATCGGTTTAATATTTATACAGAAACGCTGGGACATCTAAAATTGTAACACATCTAAGGCTAGTGTCTGTCAAATTTAACTATGATTAACCGACACAAACAACACTGATTACATAGCGCAAGATCAAAATAATGTCGACACTTAATGTAAACAATCAGTAATTGGCATAACGTTAAATGAATAAAAAAACATTATCCATAAAAATAGAGAATTGCGTTGAAAACAAATCAAAGGCCAAATTTCAAAACATGATTCAATACTTGTTATCATTTTTATCAGTATCTGGAAAAAACTATCTAGCTAGCTAACGGAACGTCGGTAGTTCTACTCGGGTGCACGTTCGTGCCTGAAATAATGCACGGAAGGACACCTGAGGTCTTCATCAAACAGTAAAGCTGGATCGTCGCGATATGACTTATACTGTGTCGATGTGACGTAAAACCCAAAACAAACAAACAAACAAAATCTGGAAAAAAAGTCTTCAAAATTGGATATAACTACTCACTATCATATAATTCAAGAAGCATCACATCTGTGTCATTTTTGGGATTAATTTCTCTTTCTATTTCCATGAAATCCTCAAGAATCACTTCAGCATCTTTAATTCTTGCGTCAGCGTGAATAAGTAACGCTTTGTTGTAATGCTAAATAAAATAGCATAATATATTTAGATATTTAATTTACTGTCTTTTCCAATTAAAACCAGATTAACAAGTTACTTTATAATTGGGAACTTAATCATTTTATTATACTATTAATAAAAATAAACTTGTCAAAAGTTCTCAAAAGGAAAAGGAAAAAAGAACAATATGTAAATATATTCTATTATCAGGAAAAATTGGTCACCTGCTTAACTCAGCTATTAAATTATCCTCTTTTTTCAAATTCATATATTCATTTTTTTAGAAGTTTGACGGCCATATTTGTACATCAAAAACATATTTAAGAAAAATTCGACCGGTCAAAAGCTATTTAAAGTAGAAGCAAACGCTTTATATAAATTCTACTTTAAACGACCTCTAAATGTAATCGGCAAGGATTCATCATTCTCCTAACTTCGTCTGAACTAAGCTTCCCTAACGCTTTCTTAAATTCGCTGAGCCACTGCTGAAATTTCTCTGATCCTCGAGTTGGTGGCACGACACATGCCTCTTTAATAAACGCATCTTTTCTAGGAATGTTGTGTAAACCTTAAAAGAAAATGTAGTTGGTAATGTACCGTTTACTGATGTTCTATTTCAGAAATGGGAATTTGTTTATCAGTGGTTTTCATTTTATATGCTTAGTGTGTAAGAACTTTTGTATTATTTAGTTCATTAAAAGGACATAATGTCATGCCAATATCTTTCTTCTAACGTTGGAACTCTTTTTGACTGATGTCGCAAAGCTGACAACCTTATTTTTACCCAGTTACAAGTACTTACTTTAACAACACACTGTATACTATCATAAACATTTTTTATAATAATTACAAAATGTACATTGTTTTATGTAAACAAACTACAAACTCAAACAAAAATTCATCTAATCATTTTACTAAATAAGCAATTTCTTTGTTTACAATATTGAGTTTGAAATTCCATTTTTTAATTCAGACTAATATACTTTTTTTTAATTCAGACTAATTTTAGCAATGTAACTTTTTTCACATATCTATAAAGTATTATTACACTAAAATACGCATAGAACCTTACTTGGATGTGATATCATGTATTCATTAATAATATCCATTATAGCCAATACCGCTTTCCGATACCTATCGTTTACCCGCTTCCTTGCAGCAACTGTCTCTGTAATGTCATAAAATAAATTACGTAACCTACATACATGCATGGTACCAGTAAAACATTGTGCCAATATTGACGTCAAATGTATTAATCTTCATTTTGCGTTTGTAACTTTAGGACTAAATAAGTCTAACAGAATAGGATTAGTAGTTTAAACATATACGTGCTCAAAGATCACGTCAATAAATATATGAAAAAACAACATATTATTACATCGTATGTCTAAAAGTCAAATTCCATTGGCAAGAGAACAAAATAATATACTAATGGACAGTGATTTGGTAAAGCGATATATGAACATTATGACAGCATGATTTTCTAATCAAATATTTTTAAAGTCAAATTTCCAAACCATGTAAATACATAAAATAGTAATTTATTTCTGCACTAGAACTTCAATATTTATTGTTTTAGTCAATGGTAAAAAACAATGTTTGAATTCAATTCCATCTTACTTTCAATAGGATTGTTTTCAAATCGTTTTAGCTCTTCTTTGTTCCTTCGAACAGTACACAAGAATTTGGCATCAAGATTTGCTAGTAAGCTTTTCATGTGGCCCATTGCAGCATCATGTCTTGTATTTCCGCCAACTCCAAGAGATGCAGTGAGTCCGACGATCTATTTTTACATAATGATATCAAATGTCTTATGAGCCGTGTCACGACAAAACCGACATAGTGGGTTTGCGACCAGCATGGATCCAGACCAGCCTGCGCATCCGCGCAGTCTGATCAGGATCCATGCTGTTTGCTTACCAACCCTATTACATGTAGAGAAAATGATAGCGAACAGCATGGATGCGCAGTCTGATCAGGATCCATGCTGTTCGCTTACCAACCCTATTACATGTAGAGAAAATGATAGCGAACAGCATGGATCCTGATCAGACTGCGCTGATGCGCAGGCTGGTCTGGATCCATGCTGGTCGCAAACACACTATGTTGGTTTTGTCGTGACACGGCTCATATGTAAAAATATCAACTATAAACATAGGTAAAGTAGTAGTGACAGTCTTTATTGTATACATCTAACATGATAATGATGAAATTCTAAACGATGCAATATTATTTATTCAATGTCCAAAAAATTCATTCAAATATTGTATCCTCAAAACTTCGGCATGAAACGATATATTAATCATTTAAATGTATCCAAATCAATTTGATGTATTTAACAACTAGAACTGTGACACGGATGCCCCCACTGTGCAGATGTGCTCGTAAACAAGAGCATGCATATCTGTATGTAAGATTTTTATGTGGAACTTTTTATTAAAATCTGCCATCCGTTTTAACAGGAGTTGCGTTCACAAAATTTCTTTATGGCATATAGTAAAAAAATCAACAAAGGGCCATAATTCTGTTAAATTTGGTCGCAGCGAAAATTCCTTCATTTACTTCCATCTACACATTAAGGTTGTTCATCCCTGGAAGTTTAAGCAAATACGCCATCCGGTTTAAGAGGAGTTGCGTTCACAAAATTTCTATATGGTATATAGTGAAAAAATCAACAAAGGGCCATAATTCTGTTAAATTTGGTCGCAGCGAAAATTCCTTCTATACTGCGATCTACACATTAAGGTTGTTCATCCCTGGAAGTTTAAGCAAAATCTGCCATCCGGTTTAAGAGGAGTTGCGTTCACAAAATTTCGGGACGTACGGACAGTCGCACGGACGGACGGACAAGTGCAACGCTATATGCTCCCCTTACATTTGTATTCTTGTTGGGTATTTTACTGTGTAAAAAAAGTACCCAACAATCAAAGAAAATACCCAACAATACATACGGAGTGAGTAGGATTGGTAGTTGTTGGGTATTTATTACCCAACATATACCCTCTCGTGTGCTCTCGTGCGCTCGGACGGAAGTTCTCACAGGACAGTAATTATGTGGCTACTCTATTGTTCTCTCTATTGTTCTTTTAAGCCACACAAAAGAAAATAGCCACATAAAAGCATTACGGAATGAATGACATCAAAGAGAAAGAACAGTTACCTATTGTCCCTCTAGCCACATAATTACTGTCCTGTGAGTGCGGACAGACGTACGGACGGACGGACAAGTGCAACGCTATATGCTCCCCACTTTGTGGGGGCATAAAAAAATTGTTTGTATGATTACATTAAAACAGTTGAATAAAACTTAAAAATGCCTTATTTCGTATGTCTTAATTAAATAAATACCGGTAATGAAAACATGAATATAAATCTTGTAAATGATAAAACCTGCGGGAGTTCTCCTTTTAAATTGCCCCTTAATTTAAGATGCATGTAAAGGCTCATGATCTCATTAAATCTGTGATAGTTGTCGGTGTGATGACATTCGTCAAACACGATCATAGAAAATCTCGTTATACTGTCAATTTCCTTCTGCTTCAGAGCGTTCAGTAAGACTTGGGCCGTCACCACCATTATATCTCTCCTAAAAAACGCGAAACTTGAAAAAATTAACTCTATGTTTATAAGAAGTAAATGGTTATAAACCACTTAAATGTCTAACATAATAAATAGCTGCTTTCATGCTTATATTGTTTTCCAAATTATTTATCTACTGAAGTTGTCCTAAAATGGAGAGAAAAAATGAGTCACTAAAGAAAATCCAAAACGGCAAATATGAAAACATTACAAGCTCGATTTCACTGAGCCTGTTTATGTATATTTTGTAATTGCAAGCTAGTTTCAACGCCCCGTAGCACTGGTTAAGTCACATATGCAATTAGAAATAACAGGAAGTAATATTTTAAATTGTTAACAATAGCATCTTCAAGTCTTCCCTTTCTGTAATGGTATCATTATTATATATGTTCGCAGATGCATTGCATCTCTCTGTAGTCGTGACAAAAACAAAGTTTAAGCTTAAAGACATATAAAACGTATTATAATCATTTGTTTATGAATGCTGCCAGTCCTGTAATGGCATATGGAAAATATTTACTAACAGATAACATTGTTTAAAACCTCTAATCAAATCATGACACGACTGCTAGTTGTTTTTACTAAAAATCCTTTGATAACTGTTTTATTTTTCTTCAGTTAACATGACATGTTTTTCTAACAGCTGCAACCGTTAACAGTTGACAACAAGCAACTTTGAAATAACAAAAAGAACAGGAAAAAAAGAGATAGAGTTTGATGAAAAATCATAGTAATACATGTTAAAAGATGACTAATATTAACCATGTACCTATCGATAAAATCTCGTAGATACTGTTTCTGGTCCCTTTGAACGCTCCCACTTATCACTTTTGTTCTGTATGCAGGTAGTCGTTTGGCACAATCTTTGCCCTGCTGGAAGGCTAACGCTTCATTTTCTACCAAAAATATCACCTTCCCAATCTTTCCAGCGTTTCTTTGACGTCGTAAGTGCACCTGTTTTTTTAATCAGAACATGCCATGCCTTGATAGGTAGAAGTACATATACTGTTAATATATCTTTTAATTAATGTTATAAATTCAATCATGTTTATAAATAATTCTAAATATGAGAAATATTTCCATACGATTTTTATCCTTAATTTCTTTTTTACAAACAATGGATAATTATTAATGATTAAGCACTGATACAAAACAAAAACAGCTGGACAAAACTTAACAGTAAAAGCAGACGTTATATGTGGCATTTATGACAAAATTTCAATAAAAAGACCTCATTTTTCTTTCTGTCTCCATACTATCTATTTAAATTTCGTAAACCATTAAAAATGAATGATATAAGTACACGTACTTGCATAATGCGCCATGCCACCCTAGTTTTTCCAGTGTTTGTTGGTGCCATAACAATAACATTTTCCCCTTCACAACCTTCTTTTGCAAGTTCCTTTTGATATTCTCTTAATTCTACATCTTTGTCATCTGCGCCAACTTCGTCTTCATCTAAAAGATTTTATTTCAATGTAAGAATATTTCATGCATTACTGAAATTAGCAAAAGAAAATAATGAGTTTCTTTAGGCTGTCATAGGATATAATTTCCCACTCTTATTACGAAATTAGCTTTTGACACAGCTTTAAGTTTATATTTTTTATTATTTTTTATCAAATTCACTTTACTGAAGTTTATCTGAAATGACAAGATTATATTTTTTTTAAAAAACATACCTGTAACTATGTTAAAATCAACTTCTCCATTTTGTTCGTAATCATTTCCATCATTGCCTAGGTCGTTTTGTAAATCTAAAATGAGCAAAATAGGTGTGTAAGCATAGCTTATTACAAACACAAGTACAGCGTATGAATAATACATTTTCAATTTCATACTTTTTGGTATATGAATTAAACGATGGTCCTAGATCAAGCATCTGAGGTACATTGCTAGAAAATGTCACAATTTCAGTAATGAAACAATTCCCCTGGCACCGAGATATTTTCACAAACTTGTTAGTGGTCTACTACACAATGTATCAGGTCAAACAAAAAGCATCTATTTAAGCTACAATTATCTTAAACGCAATAAACAGGAACCATGTGAACAAAGTTAGAAGAGCTTTATTTAAGTTAATCACAATGCACATTTTAAAATAGTATGCCGTTTGGTTATCACTGCTGATGACATTTGAAACAATTACAGAGAAACAATGACGGGTAGTAATCATTCCACAAAACTCACACGTACATTTTATGTTATCATTTTCAACATTCTACAACTTACCATTAAGGCCATTGTTTATTCCTGTGTCAGCTCCGCCAGCAAGTAATTCATCAAAGTCTATAGATTGATCGTTGGCATCAATAGTGTCCATACCGTCTAGATCTTCAAAAACGTTATTGAACACAGCGTTTGATGACATTTTGTCTTCACCTCGTGTTTTATGAGATCCTTTTGAATGATCTGACAGTTCCTGTTCTTCTTTACATCTATCCGTGTCTGAAATATATCATCCTTTCAGTGTTCTAAGTTAAAGCTAATAAGGTGAACACAGTTACGTGTACGCAGATTATAAACATGCAAAATGTTAAAACTGATAAATATATTCTACCACTATCTTGAATTAAGATAACGCTCTGCGTGAGATGACATCTTGTTTGTTTACATGACATACTCATGTGAAGTGTATGAATCAATACGTTGAGAAAAAAATCCTATCACGTTTGTCTTTTTAAACAAAACAAATTATATGTTTCAAAAAAAGCTAAAACAGGAAATATGTACAAGTTCAACAAAAATAAAGGAAAATTCAAACAGAAATGAATATAAAATCCTTAACTCAGTTTATTTATCTTGTTTGTATTACACACAGCTAGTGTGTGCATTAACAGTTAAATGAATATAAACATTATTTTCATAAGACCGATCTCAGAATACTACAGGCACTCCACTGAGGTCCAAAAGCGTTAAAACATAAATCAAGAAGTTACTTCGAAATAAATTGAAAACCCTAGTTTTAAGCTTTTCTTATCTCGATTTGAGTGGCAAACGTTAAAATGCTTTTAAATTTAGGTCATTTTTCACAATTAAAATGACCTAAAATTTGCAAAGAATTTATCATTCTAGACCAACATCAAATTGAAAATTTATCTCGAAAAATTATATCTATTCCCATCCGTCAAATACCTAAGGAGTCCCTATTGTATTGTATATAGAACATTCTTTTTTGTATACATACTTTGTCGTTTATATAGAATCATTGCTTCCTGTTTCACCTCTGTTAAACTGTCACCCACATCTTCTACCCCTTCGCTTCGCAACACATCCTCCGTTACCGCTTCATCTACAACCTGCTTACAGTTACTTTCAATCGACAGAACGTTTATTTCTTTCACAAGTGATTCTATGCCAGATTTTTCTGATATCTTTTTATCAGTTTTATAGACGTTGTGATCTGAACACTTTTCATCCTTTTCTGGTTCTGCAAAATCATCCTTTTCAATTGTATTGTCAAAGTTGTCATCTATTATGAAATGAAAGTAAAATAAATCATAATTTACAATGTTCCTGTAATGTCCCTGTAATGTCCTATTATATATGTATATGAAATTAAAATATTTAAAATCAATATCAACATCTTCAAAACGACCAATGTGCCTCAGTAGCATGCATATAAGTTATAAATTAGAGAAACGGAATCATTGGAGAAGACCCAAAACGACACAACTGAAAATATGCAGACTCGGTTTGATTGAGCCTGTTCATGGACGGTACTGGAAGGAACAAGTTACCGCCATATATTATGACTGATTTTTCATTTTGGTTTCAGTATAGATCTACTTTTTTCTCCACAACAGAAATTTCATCAATAGCCAGTTATGTTTAAGATAACATTACACACAATTTGATATAAACAAAGAAATGTTAATTCATTATCGTAATACCTTCAAGTATATCTTCTCGGATATCACTTTCTAACTCAGTCTTGAAAGCTTGTCTTGCATCTTCTCGTTGAACCATTAGTTCTACAACACACAATAATTTACATAATTATATATCTTTTTATCATAAAATATTAAAGAAACCAAACAAGAAGCTCTCTTCCATCACAATTCCGGTTTAAGAGGTCCAAAAATGGTTTTAATTGTGAGTTATTTATCTCTATATACAGTAACTGTTAACTATGGTGCAGGATAATTTTGGATTATTACGTATTCTTACCACTGGTGTGACTAAACATTATTCAGCAAACAAACTAATGTAATATTTCCGGAGGTATTCATTTAAACTAATTGTTCAGAAAATCAAGCAAAACCCTTTCAATTTCATGTCCATAGATTTACTTTTGTTCGCCGTTGTTGCTTTGCTGATTTACCCTTAATATGTATAATATTCATCATATTCGACACTTACTCTGAAACATATCTGGATCCAGAATTTCTGCAATGTCATCGTATTTACAATCTAGAAGAGCTTCCATGAAATTTCTAAACCAATCCTCTACTCGATTTGGCAAATGGAACAGCAAAACCCAACAGGCTCTTCTACTGCCGTGATTTCGTTCCTCGGCCCTTATTTCATCTGCGTCATTCCTTGTGAGGGTACCTTGACTTACTAGATTCGGAAGCAATTCTGCAGGACTTAATCGATCAATGATTTCTTCAGCAAATAGGTCGATAATTTTCCGGTAATTATTATCATCAGCAACTATGTTGCCATCAATCATTTTAACAATTTTTGGGTAACCTAAGAAATATAGGGCATACATACTATAAACCAATGTGTTTATGATAAAAATTATATATAAATTTTTCGATAATATTAATTACTTTGACGAAACTTTGTAAATAATTTCTGAAAAACTGCAATTGAATTTTCATTTACATTAAAAATACACGATCACCATTTGCAAAATGTTTATAACATTAGTCTTGGCTCCTTTCATATATACAAATAGGTTTTTTTTAAACGACTCGACAAAACTGTTTGATCATAAGCTTTATGGCCTACGCTTCACAACACGTTTAGGTTATTTTATATTTAAATGTTTTTTCTTACGACTATCCTCTATGGCATTCCTGATTGCAATAAATCTTCCATCATCTTCCACCTCGTTCATTAAAACTTCCATGGCCTTACGCATACCCTGCACACTGTTTTGAGCACATGTTTTAAATATGTCCTTCCTTTGTTCTGTTAAATGAGAAAAAATATATACAAAAAATGACACATTGTTGCACCAGCTTAAACTGGCCAATTAAAAAAACCTAGGAGCTAGGTAAATGTGATATGTTGAAACTAAACGTAAAGGTTAATAGCAAAAGAACACAACTTGGTTTCAACACAACGATTTTAACTTCACGATTTACGATTTCAGCAATTCAACTTCACGAATTCACGATTTCAGCTTCATGAATTCATGGTTTGAACCTCACGATTTCAAGATTGATCCTTCATAATAAACAAAGTTCAATTCGTGAATTCAAGTTCATGAAATTTAAATCGTGAAGTTCAAAATGCGAATTCATGAAGTTGAAGTCATGAAGTGAAAATCGTAAATTCATGAAGTTGAAATCATTAATTCGTAATTTTGAAATCGTGAATCTTGACGCTGAAATCGTGAATTCGTGAATTCTGTATGTTGAAAGCGTGAGTTCGTGAAGTTGAAATTGTGAATCCATGAACATGAACCATATATTTCAAGAAGCTGAAACAACACCACCGGTCTTTCGAATTTCAGGGATTTCATTACCATTATACAAAAAAATTAACTACCAACAGTATAGAGCCTGGTCAGACTGCAAATTAAAGATGTGCAAGGTAGCCTTGTCTGATAATTGTGTCAAAAGATTATCACTTGTGGTTCGGTAAAAAACAAACTGTATATAATATCAAATCGATAACGCTGGTATACCTATCAAAATGAAATATTTTAATCACAAGTACATTGTTTTCTTTGCAAACAAAGAATAAAAACATACCTCTTGTGAAATATTGAAGATGTACCAACAAGTCAGTGGCTTTCACACAGTCACAAATGTATGGTAGGAAAACCTGAATGTTAAATTTAATTACATCATCTCGCGGGAAATCATCCATGTCTGCTTCTGCCATTTTTGCTCACAATTTTTTCTTGGTTTCGTATGGTTTTAGTAATCTACCAAATACCTGCAGCCATAAACATCCAAGCATGTTGAAATAACTATCATTATAAAATGTAGTAAATAGTTCAAATTAATGTACATGTATATATTATGTACAGGTATCTGTATTCATTCCCAATTTATCACAATATGGGGTAGGATTTTATCACAAACGAAAAATTGAGAAAATAATGCATTGATGATTATGCTATGATTTAATTTATTTCATAGGACATTTGCTTCTTCCAAAAAGTAAAGTTTAATTTTCACAAATGCTATGATTTCATTTATTTCATAGGACATTTGCTACTTTCAAAAGTTAAGTTTAATTTTCCCAAAACAAATGTGCACAATTTTAAGCTATATTGATATTAATGTTTGACATAATTTCACTATAACTTCGTCTCTTGAATCATTCAAAACATCTACTTCTCGTGAACCATATAATGAAATAAACAAAAAACATGAAATAAATAAAACAGTATTTAATTATCAGACATACTGAGAAGTATAATTACATGTATATAGTATTTATATAGAACCCTCCGGCAGCGTGAGTTTGATGACTACGCCCAATGCAATGAATGAATAAGGGTTTCAGGCATATCTGATAATGATTTAGCACCATAAAGTCCTGCTAAATACAAGAAGTACATGTAGGCCCAAAAGTGATTAAAGCAAGTTGATAACTTTGTGTACATTATATATGATCATGTATAGGCCTACGACATCGAATACGGAAAAGTGGGTTTTCCCAGCTAATCCGTGGGTACATACTAAATTTACCGCTAATAGCTTCAAGGTGCACTACCCGTCACCTGTTTCGCTTATTTTCTAAGCTGGTATACTGTATTGGAAAACCCAAATATTCTTAATTCCGGAGTAGGCCTAAGTCTATAGCTGTAAATTAAAGTCGTCACATGACCTGGCAATAGTCGACATTTAGTTTTTAGCAATCGTATATGCAGGTAGGGTGTTATGCTTATTTGAAAGTGAAAGTGAAAACTGAATAATGCGCATGTATATCAAATCAAAAGTAAACACTCAAATTAAAAAAAAAACAACTTATAAACTGTTATGTCTACCTGTCACTAATACTTCATAATTTCATAAAGAAAAGTTAACAGGCAGACAATATGTAGTATTTATATGTGCCTCATATATATATGGCGAGTAATTCAACATGTGCATACATATATACTGTTATACATGTTTACTGTATACATAATGTAATACAGAGATCTAGTCAAATCCGGAACCTTCTAGATAACAATTAGTGATAAAATGTTGTTTATATTTGCTTAACACACGGTCAAACTAAATGAATTATGTTCTATTGATAGGGAATGTGGTCAAATTTAAAAGCAAACACACAAAAATAGCAAGTTAAGCGTGAACTATTTTTAGACTCAGAATTTATGTCTCGTTGCCTTCCTTTATCAATCAGTCGATTTTACATTTCACTACTAATCTTTAAATAGTATACATTGATTTATATGAACACGCGAACAATTATTCAAAATAAGTTTTAATTGGAACAAATGAGTTTTAATCGTAATTTATAAATAAAAAATATTTAACTTACTTTTGTGCTCGGAAAACCCCAATCTAAATTTAGCCGGATAGAGAAATGCCTGGTTCTCGCGTTCATTTCAACTATAGTTGTATAGTGTAATAAAGCAAGGTAAAAGCGTTAGGCCACGAATCATATAGGATTTTCCGAAAATACGTACTTTCATTTATAAAAAACAATATAGCTGGTGCATACTGACCCGTCTTCATGTTGGAATATATTTTGAATTGCATGAAATGTAGTAATATTCGGTATTTTTTGTCAAGTTCGGGGCACGGTAGATTTCGATTCCAGATCTAATATTTTAATATTGATATAAATTTACGAAGGCCGGTATGTTCAAGTTTGAACTACTAACATTTATACCCTTTGTTACACGTACGGTCTCAACCCGGTACGGAATTAGACCGAACCCATTGTATCTAGAAAGTAGTTCTTTGAAATTTTGAAATGGCTCAATTTAAGTCATCTCTAGTTAGATTGGTCATGATTAAAGTGTATTATTGCATGTGTGTAGTTTTTGTGTGTTATATGATGACTTTAAAAGTTGTTTTTTGTGTATTCTCCAGGAACTCATTTGTTGGTGGAAGGATTAAAGATGTACTACCCACCAGCTGTCAGGAGTTTTTAAAGTGGTGAATTTAAACAGTGTTACAACAGATTGAAGATTTCTGAAAAAAGTAGATGGCTAACCTATTATATTTTGGGCCTCATTGGACTTAGATAGTGTTAATGTTTAAAGTTGAAGACAGTATATAATTCATCAAGAACAGTGGAATCCAGAATTAAGCCTCAAATTTGACTGATTTACTATAGAACAAATAGTACGAAAATTCACCGGGCCGCGTCCGTACGTGCCGTATGAAGGCACAATGCATCGGCTTTGCGGATGGAGCTTCACAATGTACCTGAATTTAGTACCCTGTCTTACTGGATACCAGCTGATGACTATAGCCTATGTGTGTTGGCCTGCAGGGACGACGAGATTTGGTACTGGGATATTAAGGCTCATCTCTCGAATATTCGACGTAGTTTAGATATTTCAAAATCAAATGGCTAGTTTTCAAGGTCTTGGATGTACATAATATTAGGATCAACATATAAAACTGAAATAATCTAAAATAAAGCTTTCACTTAATTAGTAAGTCAGATAAAAGTATCAGATGGCGATTTTTTTTGCGTCTACAGACATATATTCTGATGAAAGAACGGTCGGCGCTAGCGGAAGACACATTGTATTGCTGAACATGCGGGTAAAACTCATTTTGTATATCCAGTAGCACAGATTCTATTTATTTTGTTATTGATAATGAATCCAACCAAGTAAGTCAATGGAAATCTACGGCGTAAACAAAAGTTGTAAACTTTTCCAAAAAAGTTTAAGAAATTAGGAGTTACATAAAGTTATAAGTAATTACAGCCAAACCTTTGTTAAAGAACACCTCCGTATAAAGACTATCTTGTAAGTAAAGACCCCGCTTTGACAAACTTTCATTTTCAACGAATATTATTCCGAGTCTATAAATGCTATGCATGGTCTCTTCTTTGGCTGACCTTTAGTCACAGGTTTATACTGTATGTCATACTTTTCATAGCCAAATTTGTCTGCACTATGCAGCAGTGAATGATAATAGTGAAATGAATAATTCCGTTAGGGAATAGATCCAAACTCCTCACAGTGATTACCTCCCTTGGCAGAATTGTAATCACTGCCTTCAAAGACGTCACATGATGATGAAAGTCACATGACGTAACGTCGAAATTCAAATGTAAATATCGACCGTTACATAGAAAATCTAACGTCATTTTTCTCTTTCTGTTTTATTTTTAACTTTTAGTGCCTACGTTCGATATAGTTTATCAAAAAAATTATCAAAAGTGTACAAGATAACGAAAAATAAATTCAAAAGCTAAAAAATATAAAATATCAAAATATTATCTCGGTAGGAAATATTCTCATAATTTTAAAATTATTTCTAAATATTCATATTATTCATTTATTTATCCATAAACATTGTTTAATCAATGAGAAAAAACTTAACTGATAGATAAAAGCAGTAAATAAAACAATTTTTGAAAAAAATATAGTATATCAGAAATTCTGATATATCGGGACCTTGGTGGCAGAGATCTATGCCGAAGAATTAAGGGGAGATCACTGCGTGGAGATTGGAATAGATCTAGATCTACAGACGAATCATCATATCAATCTTTCGGTGCCTTGTTCAAGTTTTTTGTAGAATAATGCACAGATACATAATTACAAAGGCTGCGAGGCCTTAGCGATAAATAACAAAAAATGGTAAATTATGGCAATCTATTCTTAAATGTATAAATAAAAAATGGAACTGTCAATATTATTGATAAAAATTCTCACCTACATAAAGCGGGAAAGATTTTCCTGACGTCATTTGGTATATTGACGCCACATATGACGTCATATCTGACGTGTAAGCATTCTTTTTATGTCGTGCATTTATAATACACGCAACTGGCCTGTTTGTTTAAAAGAAAAATGACATGAAGCGTGTTATATATAAGAAAGTCCCTTTGTTTGTTTTGACGTGGGTGATTTAAACAGCAGCCATCGTGAAACTCACTGATGTTGTTCACGTCATTTTGCACGTGCGTCGAAATTGCATAATGGCCTAGACCTTGCCATAATGGCTTTAAAAATACCCTAAATTTTGTTACAATGTATATTTAGTTACATAGGGATAAATGAAAAAATATATATCAAAATATGGCACTTTTCAGTGTGTCGGGATACCACGTGTCCTTATGGATACGGAACAATCGCATTTTTGCCCGATTCAGGTGTTGTTTTTTTTCTTTATTGTTACCCAACCAGTTTTGACGAAAAAAGGCGCAGAGTACCCGTACTTATATATCAAAATTAACAAAACCCCTGAATATTTTCAAAGAACCTTCGAGTAGACTTAGATCTAAGTTTTTTTTTTCATAATTCTAAGTGACAGATATTTTCGTAAAGATACGATGCCTTGTCAACTACTTAATTAAAATGCCGCCATATACTTACCCAAGCAGCTTAAGATGGCAATATTAACGAAAGCCTGAATAAGATATAGTTTTCAGACACCACATAACACGTTACAAAATTATAATGAAAATTGTGTCACCCCGGTACGGCTGGGCCCAACCCGTTGTAGCCAGGAAAATAGTTCATGAACATTTTGACAATTTAAGTCATCTCTTGTTTGAATGATCATATTTAAACTGTATTTATTGCATCTATGTAGTTTTTGTGTGTTATATATTGATGACTTATATATTACCAGGACCTTAATTATTTCTGGGCGGAAGTGGGAAGTCGTTAATTTAAACCGTGTTACAACAGAATGGAGATTGGTGACATATTATAGTTCGGGTCAAATTTGACTAAGATAGTGTTGATGTTTAAAGTTTGAGACAATATATAATTCATTAAGGATAGTGGAATCCAGAATTAAGCCTCAAATGTGACTGATTTACTATAGAACATATAGAGTACGAAATTTCACTAGGCCGAGACCATATACTTCTCTTCGAAAATTCCGAAGTGTTTGGTAATGCGTATACATCCACTCTATATAGAAAAATAATAAATCTGTAAAAAAAAATTAAAATGTACAATGAAATAAAATAAATAATACATGTCTATATATATAATGCTAATGTACTAGCTAGACCATATAAACCCTTTATGATTATCAGATGTGGTTGTGCACCAGTCTTTGTCACTGAAAACACGAAATTTGTTAGAGTCGTTTAAATATTTACATATATATAACAAAACGAAACATTCTAAATCTTTCTGATGAAATTGTGCAGCGATATATAGATGGTTGCACGATCATATCCCTCTAATAAGCAAATATCATATGAGTTGTCTTGCACATGTTTAGATATATCACAGAATTATATTTAGCCCCATTGCTATATTTGCTCTTTATTTCTGTAAAATCGAATCAATGTGAAATGATGCTGGAGTTAGTTTTGATGAATTTTAGTAAGTTGTGATGTGTTTGGGTCCATACTCTTAAACTCTCTCTCTCTCTCTCTGACATAGTTCGACACCTGCAGTGAATGCTGTTGCCGGAATGGAGGTTTCCCTGTTGCTATATAGGAACCACTGAGGAAAAAAGCAGAATGTCATATTCAGGTATGATTGAAGCAGCATCTGTTCCATAAGAAATTTTCTTGTTTGAATCTGATAGAACTCGGGGTGTATTATCAATATCTTGTCAGAGTTCATTAACCAAAGAGACAATTCTTTATGCGTTGTCTTGAATGGCATTTCGTACGAAATTATCAACCGTGTTTTTGAAATTTCTGCATAGTTTCCAACAAGCATAGAACACATGTGATCTTTTTGTGTACATGGTAAAAAGAATGAAAACATGGCTATTATGCATTCTTCATTACTTCCAAATTCTTTTCGAAAGTCATTTCTTAGACATGCTAAAAAGCCTTCTTCGTTATTTTGAAGGCCAGACTCACTCATAGCAGTTCTGCAACTTGCTTGTATATTATTCAAAATGACCCCTTTTGGGTCAAAGAGACGCGCTTCAGTATGACGGTTCTGTCCTGTCTTGTCTTTCGAATTCATCAAAAACACAACTCTTTTGAATTTCAAAAATCGGCCCCGTCCGTAAAGTCCATTTACTCCGTTCAGAAGACGCAGAAAATGTGAATATGTATCATTCAAAAGGACATGAAATGTTTTTGTTTCGATTTCTCTCCTTGATACAGCACTTGCTATCAAAAACTGTTTGTGGTTTTTCCCGATAACTTGATTCATATGCAAATTAATCTCTAAACCGATTAAACGCATACTGTACAATAGTTCCGCAGTCTGAACTTTATTCACATACATTTTAAAATCCATTATATGGTATCTTGCTGAATTTTTCTGTTTTCTTTTCTAAATAATCTAAACGGGCGATTTTTAGAAAAAAATATTGTCATATGATATAACACTTGTATATACATGGTTAGAAGATAAAATCTTTGTCACTATTCAACTGGTTTCAATGATCTCCCCGTTTTATATTATTTAAATTTGGCTTTTTGCCAAAAAGGCAATTACGTATTGCAGTTTTTGAAAACATGCGATCGTCAAATCACCTGACCAATGACCATAGATAATCACTATATTTTACCGGATCATGGCGTTTACTCTGTTGTCGTTATCAAAGCAACCTGCCGGAAACCATCCGAGTCAGCATACGCATTTGCAAGTAGTACCACTAGGTCATGCTTTATTAGAACTACTGTGCACGTTTGCCATTTTAATATACATGTAGATAGTGACATTAAATAGACATCTCTAAGTAAATCGACTGTTTATAAAAATAATTCAAAACAGTTGGTTAAAATTTATTAGTGCGTACATTGTATTAACAAATTAAATTGGTCGCGACGCGCCTGACCAATTTATTTTTTTAAATACGTACTAATAATCTTTAACCTATATTTTGTCATAAATTGAGGGATTTTGAAATAACTTGGCACCAATGTCTACCTTATATATAGTACAGTGTGTCGCGTCCAAGAATCACGTCCCTACCTCAAAGGTCAAGGTCACACTAACATTTTGAAGTTTCACATTATCGCAATAAGAGTAAATAGGTACGGACTGTAACTTTGTCATGCATCGAATGATTTTGAAATAACTAGGCACAAATGTCTACCACATCAAGACGATGTGTCGCGTCCAAGAATTACGTCTGTACCTCAAAGGTCAAGGTCACACTAACATTTTGAAGTTTCACATTATCACAATAATTAGAATTAATAGGTACACACAATCGTGTCCGGGCTGTAACTTTGTCATGCATGGAAGGATTTTGGAATAACTTGGCATACATGTCTTCCACATCAAGACGATGTGTCGCGTCCAATAATCACGTCCCTACCTCAAAGGTCAAAGACACACTCACATTTTGAAGTTTCACTTTATCACAATAAGAGTTTATAGGTACACACATTAAATTTGTGTCCGGGCTGTAACTTTGTCATGCATCGAAGGATTTTAAAATAACTAGGCATAATAACTACCACACCAAGACGACATATGTCGCGACAATTAAAGACCCATGTCCCTACCTTCAAGGTCAAGGTCACACTTATAGTTTGAAGGTACTCGTTCTCTCGAGAATAGTTTGAAGATACACATTCATGTCCGGACTGTAACTTTGTCATGCATGGAAGGATTTTAAAATAACAAATGTCTAATATATCAAGACAATGCGTCGCGGCTAAGGCTCCGTCTGTCCGTGTGTTCCCACTTGTCCAGACTGTAACTTTGTCATGCATTGAGGGATTTTGAAATACTTTAGCGCAAATGTCTATCTCATAACAACTCAAGACTTTAAATATAGAGAATTAAATATGATAGACTTGCCAATTTTTATGAACTCGATTAAATCAAGCTGGATTAAAAGATTATTTGATGAAAATAACCATGGATTGTGGAAAGAGATAATAAAGAAAAATTTACAAAAATAGGTGGAATCGACTTATTTTAAAGTAATTTAAACACAAATGATATTCAGAAATTTAAAATCAAAAATATTTTCTTAAAAGAATTACTACTGGCATGGAGTAAAAGAAATTTTAATAAAAATCCACAAAATCTATTAGACCAAATAATATGGCAGAATTCATACATAAAAAATAATGGATCTTTAATTCTTTTTCCAAACTGGAAATGTCGAAATATTAATTTTTAACACTGAAACAAAACAATTTAAACCAGCTGAAACTTACTTTTGACATTCCTGATACAGAAATATTAAACTTTTATAAATTAATTTCATCAATACCCAAAGAATGGAAACGTAAACTACAACAAATTAATCAAACTTCAACGCCTAAAGAAATAAGCACTTTTGATATGTAGAAAAAACAAACACGTCCAATATCAGTAAAAAGTTAACACAGATTCAAAAGCAATAAGACTGTGTAAAAATAATTTAAAAAATCGCAAATAAAATGGGAAGAACGATTTCCGCAAAAAGAATTTCAATGGCAAAATATTTACGAAAACGATTTTGTTTATTTCAAAGATAATATTTTACAAAACTTTCAATATAATTTTTTACACAGGAATATTGCAACAAACAAATTTCTTCTTCAATGTAAATTAACCGAATCTAGTCTTTGTGATTTTTGCTGTATGGATGTTGAATGTATAGAGCACCTATTTTGGGACTGCCGAACGGTACAAATATTCTGGAATAATTTATTCAAATGGCTTAATGAAATAGCAATAAATGTTACGTATGACAATTTTACATCTTTCTTTCATGCTAAAGATAAGAAAACATCGTATATTTTTTCTCTTTTCAAAATATTACATTTATACCAGTAAATTAAAGAAACAAACTCCAGATATAAGTATCTTCAAAAGAATTTTTTTAAACAGATTAAAAATTGAAAGATTTATTGCGTTACAAAATGATACATTAGAAGAATTTGAAAATTGCTGGATAAATCTAATTGAATTGTTTGATATCTAAATAGTACATGCAGAGAAAAATGCTACCAAAGCAGTTTATTTACTCTTTTCTTTTTCATCCTTTTGTCCCTTTTCTTGTGTAAATGAATAAACCTCTTAACTTTTTGAAATGTCTTATATATTCTGATATAATACCTGACTAAAAACATAACAAAACAAATTATTTTTTTAAATAATTAATTTTACATATCAATGTAAATGCTAAAGTTATCATGGTTTGTATTCTTGTATTATTTTTCTTAACTAAACGGGCCTTAAGTGTGGTTCCAAAAAAAAAGCCATTATACAGCCGATAAATGTCAGAAATTAAATTTTTACAAGCCTATTCAGACATCAAATGTTTTCGTTGTTAAAAAATTACAGGTTTTGAATGCACATAAAATATTTCGTATCCGAACTCCACATTCGGCTCATTCGTCGTGTCAATAAAAATAACATTATCCTAAAAGATATAACCCAACCAACGTTTACATGTATGTAATGGATTAAATACTGTAAACGCGTGCCGGTTAATAATTAGTTAATTATGATCAACGGAAGATAATGTTAGGTCCATAATGCTGTCATTATTGACAAGAAAAATTAACCGAATGCCTGTACTGAATTCGCGAAATCACGGATCTTAATTTTAAAATCCGTTGCGAAATGCACTCGGTACGAAAATTAAGGGGCGAAATTTATTTCAGCGAAACATGAAATACTCTTCACTTCCCTCCATAACTTCAAAAAGATATCCCCGATTATTTTAGAGTTTTAGATATAATACTTGGTAATCAGTGTTTACCAAACATTCAAAGTATTTATAAAGTTTATTGTGTACAGCTACTTAATAATATTTTTCTGCTTTTCTGTATAATTTGTATGGGAAACACCAAAATGAAAGTAAGATGAAAACGAGGCTTGGCTTCATGTTGCCATGGGCCAGATCCTAGTGACAAGTTGGCGGGTTGTTTTTCAGATAATTCCCAATTAAGTGAAATAAAAGAGGATTATGTAGCAGTATTTATTGTAAATTGTCTGGGTTAAATCAAAATAAAAAGAAATGGCTGAGAAAAAGTTCAAAGGTTCTCCATTTGGAACACAAACTGCCAGGTAATATGTGCTTTGGTACGGAGTCTGCAAATATATTGACTGCGTTAGTGCGTATTGATAAAGTAGCGTTTTATGACTGCGCCATATGAGTGGACGCATGATATGCTATGCTCTTGCAATTTATTTGTGCATATTATATCTGTTGATTTGTATGTGTAATTTGAATGAAACCTTAGTTAAAACATACATATACAGTTTAAAATTTGTAAAAATATGAGACAATCCATATTTGTTTTTTGAATGGAAGTAAATCAATCTGACTCCGAGGTTATAAAATGCTTGTAAAGTAATATGATATACAGTACATTAATAACCTGTTTTCTTAATAAAAGATACAGTATTTCATGTCACTGGGTGAGAAAAATGTGCAGCCTGAATGGGACTCGAACAAGGGACCCTAAAAATACTGTATCGTGGCTCTACCGACTGGGCTCTGCTTACACATCTTCTCCCCTAAATTGTGAACAGTTCTGAACAGTTACATACTACCCTGCTATATTGAAATTTGTCCTCGAAATTTCATAGAGTTACAGAGCAATGTAACTTAAACACTGTGCTATATTCAGTCACGGTCCCCCGTTGGGTGCCAAAAGCACTTTAACTGAAAATAGAACAGTGATCACCTAAAGCACTTGACTCTCTGTTCATTCCAAATTTAGGTCCCTTCACTGCATGTCAGACATCTATCACCAGACAGTGTAAGGACAGATTGGAGGAAAAAACTTGAATACCAGGGTCTTTGAATTTGTGACTGGAAAATCCGTGTCCAAGTCTGAAAATGATATGAATGATTGTGTCCTTGTTAAGTCCCTGTCACGGCAGTTTAGGCTGTATCAAAAGTAATTCAATCGTCCTTCAGTCCTGGAAAGTGTGCAGGTAGACACTGTTTTCATTGCCTTGCACTCCTCTTGGGAAAAGGAGGTTAGAGTTAAAATGTATTGGTGAGTACATTGATACTAGACAACAGGTGATAGTAGACATACTACATGTATCTCATAATCTGAATGTATTGGGTTTTTTTAAGGTTTGATGTGTCAGGTGTACATCCAAAAGTTAAAGTGCCTGGAACATTTACAGAAATACCATATGACAAAAAATCTATTGAAGAGCTTGTGAGTACAGTTATTTATATATTTTTTCTTTCTTCATTGTTATTATTTACTTACAAGTACTTGAAATGTTATTTATTATTCATTGACTGGTAAAGTTTTTGAATATCTTTGGTCATGTTTATTGCCATGTAAAACGTGACAAAAATTGATAAATACACTAATTTCTGTCAAACTGCTAAATATATCTGGATTACATGTCTTTTGAAAATGGGAATACAAGAAAAAGTCTGGAAAAAATTGAAGTTTACAGCTATTTGCTAGTTTATCGAAGTATAAAATCATAAAAAAAAACTTGAATTTTTAACAGTCATACCTCTTTTCTAATTTAGAATCGTCGCATGGGTCCTGGCTCATACCATGTTGACGTAGGTGGATTCAATAGAAAAACAGTTGACGAGAAAGCGTCAGGTCCCGGTTGGGCTCGTGCACATGAAGTGGAAAGAAGTGCAGCATTGCCACATCTACTACATAAAGAACAATGGGAAATGAAGAAAGAACTTGTAAGTTTACCAATGAATACAATCTTACAAAACAATGACATTCATTGAAATACTGTCAAGTTATACAACATCACTGATTGACATTAAGAACTAAAAGTGGACAATTATATATTTTTTAATTTGTAACTGATATTTACTTGATATCTGAACCGTATTTGCCTTGATATCTGAATTGCCTTGATATCAGAATCTGATCTGGCTTGATATCTGAATTGCCTTGATATCAACCTGATTTGCGTTGATATCTCATTCTGTACATGTTTTTGTTTTGTCAGATTTATATATCTTATAGCAATTTACTTCACTATTGTAGATCTCTAGGTCCTTATATTTACCCCTCTTTACAGATTATTTAAAATTGAAAAAGAAATCATAACTTTTTATTTCAATATACCATAATGATCTGTTTGAGAAAAAGTTTCAAAATTTGTTCATTTGCATAGATAATCTTCAGTAAGTTGTTTATTTAGCTGATTTTTATTGATTCAAGATTTATAAGAGGAGCTAGAATATATAAAATGTTCTTATGAACATGGGTTAAAGTAAATAAATGATATTTGAACATGTAAGTGTCAGGTGTTTATCTAGCACTCTTTGTGTATGCTTTATGAGATAAACTATTACCACCTGTCTATCTTTATGTTATAAATAATCATTTTATGCACAGATTGCAGAATGATGAAGATGATTTTATGAATAATTTTATGCCACCCACATGCCTCAGGCGTCATTCTTGTAAAGCATTTCCAAATTTGTAGAAAGAAAACCAGTCATGGCTGAAAACAAGTCATGTCTTGATAAATATATTAAATATTAAAATAAGGACTCGCAGTGTTTAAAGGTTAAATGCTTATTAACTATTCTTTGTATTCTGGTTGGGATTTTAAGTCACACTGTCATAGCAAATTACAATTTTACTAGTGGAGTAGGACCCCATGTGTCCCTCTATGCGTTATTTTATGCACATGCACTGGCTTCAGAGTAGAACCACCAACCTTCTGAAAGTTAGTCACTTAGTGGGCATAAAAAGAATCCAAAGTTCCCAAAAGAATTTGAACCTATAGCAGAAAGGGGCTTTTAAAATCCGTTATCTCGACACAGAAGCCCCTTTTATGCTAATTATGTATTTAAACTTATCAATATTTCTTAATCTCAATGTCTTTATAATTTTAATAACAAATAAACGGGAAATATTTAACAAGTACAATTTAAATAAGCTTTCTATACAATAATCAATATGAAACCTATTTACTTTCTTTTCAAATATTTAAATAATGCACCATGAAAGTTAAACATTTATAATTATGTAGGCCTCAATTAAAGTTAAAATATTTCAATTCAAAATAGGAACAATTTGTAGATTTTGTCATTCTACCGTCTATTTGAATTGTATTTTGAAAGGATTTATTATAACAATCGAGAGATCAGATGACTTATCAATGCAGATATTTATTTACATGATAAATTAGGGTTGTATTGGATTTAAAGATTTCTGTAAATCTGTAAATATTAAGTGGCTGTTTAAAGTGCCTATGTAACCAAGTCATTTAAGATTTAAGTGTATGGCAAAGATTTGCTTACCAAATTGTAACTTTTAGTTTAATGATGAATCCATCCCAAATATTTTATCAGTTTATTAAAATTACAGTGAGAGTTTGTTAATGTGTTAACGTTACAGGGCATTTTTTTGTCAAAATTGTGAAGGGGCCTGGGCCTGTTCATTTTGTGGAAAAAAAGTGTGATATGTCATAAAATTGTGAAAAAATGGCATATTACTTGGCATTTTGAAACCTGAAACAGTTTATTATTATTTCTGACCTGTGTAAAATCTGCTTCAAGTCAGTACAATAACCCGGTAAACATGTGCAAAAACCATTTAACTTGAATAAAACTATTTCTGTGTTATTGCAATTGGCACCGGAAGTTGAACAATTTATTTCGATGACAAAGTCCAAATATTTTATGAAATCTTTTTTGAAATTGTGAATTTTTTTCTGCCGCTTTGTGGAAAAAAAAGTGCAATTTTCGATTGTGAAGGGGTCTAATAGCGGCCCCAGGTGTTATAGAAAGAAAAAAAGCCCTTGGTTAGTAAATATCAAATAACAGATGCGTAGCATTGAAATATTTTATGCATCATCTGAAATGACTTCCCAAATATAAATATTCTAAATATGGGATTAAGAGTATATATTTAATTACTTCTGCCTATGTAGGCATGTTTTATGTTTGGTCAATATAAAATGTACCTTTACACAATTATCCCATAGAAATGGCATGTTTTAAAGTAGATTTTATAATCTAAATTGGGTTGAATTTTAAGGATTTATATCAGTCTGTTGCATTGTGTACATGTAGTTAACTGATATGGTTGAGAATAGATTTTCTTTATAGAAAAGTTTTTGAGACTCAAAGATTGAGAGAAAAATTTAATTAATTAAACTTAGTGAACTTAGGGAGTAATTGTATAGCAAATGCAATATAAAATGGTGCTTGGGAAATTTATTTGTCAGTGTTTTCAAACATTTATATTGTTAAGATACATTTTTATCTGGGTAATGCTGGAAGAATTTTTCGCCACCAAATTTAATGTGACCCCTTCCTTTTAATAATTAATTAATAATTTATGGTCAGTGCAGAGATAGCTTGCATTATTCATGGTCAGTACAGGGCTAGCTTACATTATTTATGGTCAGTACAGAGCTAACTTATAATATTCATGGTCAGTACAGAGCTAGCTTACATTATTCATGGTCAGTACAGTGCTATATAGCTTGCATTATTCATGGTCAGTACAGAGCTAGCTTACATTATTCATGGTCATCACAGTGCTAGCTTGCATTATTCATGGTCATTGCAGAGCTAGCTTGCATTATCCATGGTCACTGCTGAGCTAGCTTGCATCATTCATGGTCACTGCAGAGCTAGCTTGCATTATTCATGATCAGTGTAGAGATAGCTTGCATTATTCATGGTCAGGGCAGAGCTAGCTTGCATTATTCATGGTCAGTGTAAAGCTAGCTTGCATTATTCATTGTCAGTGTAGAGCTAGCTTGCATTATTCATGGTCAGTGTAGAGCTAGCTTGCATCATTCATGGTCACTGCAGAGCTAGCTTGCATTATTCATGATCAGTGTAGAGCTACCTTGCATTATTCATGATCAATGTAGAGCTAGCTTGCATTATTCATGGTCAGTGTAGAGCTAGATTGCATTAACCATGGTCTGTGTAGAGCTAGCTTGCATTATTCATGATCAGTACAGAGCTAGCTTACATTATTCATGGTCACTGCAGAGCTAGCTTGCATTATTCATGATCATGTAGAGCTAGCTTGCATTATTCATGGTCATTGCAGAGCCAGTTTGTTTGTATTATTCATAGTAAGAACAGAGCTAGTTTACATTATTTATGGTCAGTGGAGAGCTATTATATATGATCAGTACAGAGTTAGCCTGCATTATTCATGGTCATTTGCATTTTTCATGGACAGTGCAGAGCTAGCTTGCATTATTCATGATTTGTACACAGCTTAATTGCATAAAACATTATCTTTGCAGAACTACAGGTACCTAATGGGATGCATTAAAACATGGAAAATTATGCCAATTTTATCATATTATTCATTTTCATTTTAGATCAGGAAACTTGGCCCTGGTTCATATGAAATTAAAGATTTTCTGGAAAACAGTGACTTAAAACCTCGCAGTGCTAGAGGCATATGTGAAACACGAGCTACAAGATTTAAAGAATTACTGAATGAAATACCAGGACCAGGTAAGGAAATGCATAATTGACATTGATGCTCATTGTTTAAATAAATATTTTAGTTTACTACTGCTTGATATTAAACTTTGTGATACCAGTACTGTAATTGTATTATTATAGTGTATTTGCCAATTACACTTCTAAAAATTACAGGAATTGACTTTGTTACAGACAAATCCTAATTTTTCACATTATGCCTTTATAGATGAAAATAATATGAATGATATAATTGATTTTTCCAGTATAAAACCAAAACTATGATAAAAATACAATAAAAGGTTAGATATTTTATAGTATAGTTTGATGTACGTTATGTTGATTTGAGAATTTGATATCTGAATTTGGATGAATAATTTTAATTTGAATTAAAAAAATATTTTTCCATTATAATATGATGTAATATATTATATATATAACAGGAACCTATGGTAAAGGTGGTATCCCTCATTCAGCCTGCGAGGAGAAGGCCCAACTTTCAACATCTACTGTGGGTATGCTAGATGCTGGTTCATCTACTCCTAGAAACCTACCCTCAGTTGTAAGTTATTATTATATGTATTATAATCTATCAGATATTACCAAATAAGGGTGGTCAACACAAATAAATTACAACATAGGCTGACTTTGATATAAGGATGTCCTGCATACGGTTACCAATCCCTTACTGTAACCTAACGATTATGGTATCCGTCCCTTAAGATACAATTATAGGTTTGAGCCCCACTTGAGTCATAGTCATGGTCCTTGTATGTCACCAGTACTGGTTAGCTCCCGAGGATGCAGACTTAGAAGTGGTTAGTGGTTTTCTGCCCATGCATACAGTGCAGACCAAGATCAGTCTGCACTGCACATCCCAGCTGTCTCAATCTGGGTTTGCTGGATTGACAGGAGGACAAGTCCATTTAAAATACTTAACGTTATAAGGGTTAAATAACTATTAATCAAGCTTCCATCATTGAATCTTAACTTCTATATATTGAAATGATCAAATCAATGGTTTCAACGAGGCAAAAAAGTGGACAACGTTCACCATGTTTATATTATATTGCCATATGAAGTAGGTAACTTGTTTCTGTTGACATTTTTAAAAAAATTTAAACAATAAAATCAATATAGTAAAACATTTGTACCTAGGGAAAAAATATCACGAAATATTGTCAGTCAATCATTTACTTATACCAAATGTAATACAAATTAATGGTGCTCTTATGAATAGTAGTGTTTTATATTATCTTTCATTGTCATTGATTCATCTAACAATCATAGCATAATAAAATGATACAAACATTCCCAGTTGATTAACTTAAAAAAAACAATTTGTCTCCCTGCCTGATTAAACAAAGTTCTGCCAAAGTTTCTTATCTGAGTTCCGATCATAATGTACATCATACTGCTTAAATAAACAAGACTTTATCGATAAATCTAATTAATTATTCACAACATGTAATTATGTTCTTTTGTTCACCACCGTCTCGACTACATCAAATCAATTTTCTGGATGTGGGGTATATTTACACAAGCAGAACGATATCTGTATTTTATTAGATGTAAAGATCTTTGTCAGGTTATATGGCTGAATATAAATTCTTATATGGCTTGAGCCACTAGATGATGGTTATATAGCAATACATAATATGTACATGGTCATTTAATCTGTCAAAAATTTTATAATGATTTTATAATCAATGCACAATAAATGTTTTCTTTGATTTATAATAAAAACAAAATCAATGCATAAATTTGTAGCAGCTGTGTACATATAGATAATATAATCAACATGATGGTCAAATGAAAATCCATGTTACAAACATGCAGTAGTAGTATATTTGTTAAGAGAGTTTTAAATTGATCATACAGGCATTTAAGGGTACCATATTTTTTTCCTAGTATGGGATGTGGGGTGGGGTTGGACTGTAATGAAAAAATATGTTAAATATATGCTGGATTACACAGTTTGTTGAGAGATTTTAAGACTGATTGTTTTGTGGCATTTAAGCATACTGTATTTCTGCTAATACAGGATGTTGGCCAGTCTGGGGGCTGTAGGCATGCAAAATACCTCATTTAAGTTATTTGAAACAATCGAGTAATCCAATACTGTCAACATGGCTTAATTTATACACTATTATTTATTAATAATTCATATATCAAATTATATCAGTTTTATTTTAAAGACTTTGCATTCATTATATTTCAGGGGTCAAAACTCGGACCAGGTACCTACAACTTTAAGAGTTTTGCTGAGCAGACAGTGAACAAAGTAACAAGTGTTCGAGGACCGTATGATCTGTTCTCAGGTGATAGAAATAAACCAATTACAGTCGGCTATCTAGCAGCACCAGTAAGTACTTGACATTTATAAAAAAATAAGCATAACTTGAGTTATGTGAAAGTAGTGGTGGTTTAATGGTTGAGATGTCTGTCTTTTCATCCAAGAGTTGTGAAATAGAGCCGTACTTGGGCCATAAGCCCACAATTTTTTTCTCTTACAAAAATTAGTACCGGTTAGTTCCAGGAAGTTGACTCACAGAGTGATTTATATAAACTTCAAAAATTTCTTCACAATTTTAAAATTCAAAACTTTCTTCACAATTTAGCTAAAGTAATATGTTTAAACTAAACATGTCCTACAAAACACCTCTAAACAATGACAAATTAATGACAAAAATTGCCTTAAAACAAAGTGTTTCAAGGCTTCTGCGTATAATTGTTTGTTGAACTTCATAAATGCTCTGTTTTTAAAACATATATCGTCCTCTACCAGCAAAGATAGAAAGTCACCATATTGCCAGGTAAGAAGAAAAAATCTTGTGAAATTTTTTTGCCAAATTATGTGTCATTTTCTACACAAAGGACATGTCATTTTTAAGAGTGAGACTAAAAAAGAATTGCAGCACCACACTAAATACCGTATTCCAGTATATCCCAGACAAGGCGCTAAAAAATTGCCTTTTCACCAAACAGAATGAAGTTTAAAAGGTCGATTTATGTACGATAATGAATGAAAAATGTAACAATAATAGAGAAAGAAAAAATGATATTTATCTGTTTTGTGATCATAATTTCTGCAAGCATCTAGAGGTACGGCTCCAGTCCTGTAATATGTTCAATCTCATTTTTAAACACTTAATGAGAATTAATTTATATACCTATAGCTGTTTTACCAAGCAGGAGAGGTGTTATTTACATAAGTCATTCTTTGTTTCTCTAGAAACTAGCCAATCTGGGACCAGGGCAATATCAGTTAAAGTCATTTGTAGATGATTGGGAAACTATACACAGAAACAGACAGGGGAAATTTGGGAAGGTAAAACAATACCCAGAACAGCCAACAGACAGAGTGTTCTGCAGCACATTGTCACAATGTCCGAAAGAAGAGGTAAGTTAAATCTTTTTACTGCATATTGGTAATAAAATGTTACAATATTACGTAGCATTGAGGGCCTCTAAGCATGATGATGACTGATCTGAGTCAGCCCATTGGCTTTGGTCTGTTTCATGTTTTGAAGATCTTCAAATAACTGGAGTCTATAATGCATCCCTTACTCCAGCAGGTGAGGTGATATTGACCCCTGGTGTTGCTTTTAAGTTTGTAACAGCCGAGGTTAGCCAACATCATCATTCCTGTTTTTTGCGATGTATGACCTATACTGTGTTGGTGCGCCATTTAACCAAACAAACATTTGAATATAATAGCATATATTTCAAATGCTTACAAATACAATGTTTGATCATTCATAAGAGTTTTATATTAAGAATTCCTGTATGATTTCACTGTGTAGTGTTAGTTGTGTAATTATCAGGCCAAAAATGATGTAGACATTGTTTTTATTTTCAGACACAACCTGGGCCCGGTCAGTATGAGCCTAAAGAATTAGTTAGACCAGGATCAAAGAAAGCTCCTGGATTCCTCTCCACAGCGCAGAGAAATGATAAACTCTCTCAAAAATTCTTCACACAAAACTTTGTAAGTACACATAAAACAATGCAAATGTTTGTACTGGATTCTCCTGTATTTTAGTTCTCAAATGAATCTGTGCACTTTTGATATTAATTTCAAGAAAAGAAACTCTTGATCTTAACCTCTTTTTTTGTAGTCAAAGTAACGGTAGTTACTTATATGAAATGCTGAAAAAAAATCAGTTCATAGTTTGTCTTTCAGATTTACACAATAGGGTTATCATTTCTGATACATTTATACACATATTCTATAGATGTGATCTACTTTACAGCTTTAATTCTTCAAACTGAAAAACATATTGTAAACAAAAACAATTTTGATAAATGTGAATACGCCTAAAATGTTAAGCATTGCAAGGTATTTTACATTTACTTGTTATTTTTAGTAATTTCATATATTACATGTAATGATCTGTGTATTATCGTATTTATTCATATATTGTGACCAACTTGTAGGCCCATTGGGCAGGGTGATTGTGATGATGGTGTATGTATATATGTTGTGTTATTTCATGAATATGAACATTTTAAAATTGTTACAAAGAAGTTTTAAAAAAAAAAAATCAGGGCCAGTGTGCACTCATACATTTCACTAAATTAAATTACTAGCTCATCTGTTTTGAAGAAAAATTTGAGCTATTATAATTGCTGCAGTGTTCTGGTCATCAAGCAAAAACTTGAATTTAGCCCATCATTCAAACATTGTTATTAACATGAATCTTGGAATACTTGCTTATGATGACAAAGTGCTGTTGTTAGACAGGTGGCATAATTTTGAGTTATGCCCCTTTTCAACTAAGGAATTTTTAAAAGATGAGCATTTAAACACCACATGCAGTGCTCTTGCTTTCTAATTGTGTTCTTCACTAATGTACCTCTTGCACATTCAACTGTTTGCAGCAGCATATCAATTGTCCACTATATGATTACAGAACCCTGTGGGTCCAGGTCGCTATGATATACAGAAATATGAGGAGGCCCAGCATCGTAATGGCAACAGCAGTGTGTTCCAAGCCAAGACAGGACGACTTTCTCTTGCCATGGAAAAATTCCTCAAGTATGTATTTATCTTCTGTACTTATCTCATGTACTTATGTTAGGATCCAAACCATTCGTTCCAAATAAAATAAAACAAACATCTCTAAGAATGTAAATAATATTTGTGATTTTTTTCTTCAGAAAATTGTACTCCTCTGTGCCTATGCTATACCTCAACCATTCATAACCAATACTTGATGTTATTAAATCTGTAGACATTTCTTGCTGTGTAAAGTTTGGCTGTGTTATGCTTAAATTAACCCTTAACCTGCTTGAATCAGATGTCATTGACCTTGATCACAAGTTTAGGGCCAGGCCAGCCTGCAAATATGTGACCATTTTTAAGTTTTTTAATTTTGACATCCCTAAAATTGAAAAAAGACAATTTCAAAATTGTAAGTTCATTTATGAAATTAGGCAGATTCAGGGTTAATAATATTTTCAACATACTTAAGATATCAGGTATTTATAGTTATATTGTTGCTATGGTAACAGGAATAGTTATATAAATATTGTTGCTACGGTAACAGGAATAGTTATATAAGTATTGTTGCTATAGTAACAGGAATAGTTATATAAATATTGTTGCTATGGTAACAGGAATAGTTATATAAATATTGTTGCTTTGGTAACAGGAACAGTTATAGAGATACTGTTGCTATAGTAACAAGAATAGTTATATAAATATTGTTGCTATGGTAACAGGAAAGGAGACAAGAATAATACCGTTCACAGATCTAGAACCAAATTAGTACCCGAAGCCACAACATAATGTTCTGTGATTAACTTGGAAGGTTTTAATTTTTCTTTGTTCCCTTGTTTAGGTCCCTGAAGTACCTTTAGCTTATTGTAATGGTGTTCACATAATGGTTAACTAACTGTTTAACTAATAGGAAACTGTCAAGGTCATGACCTTTTGTGACTGAAGCTTATGACCTACATAACAGATTCCCTCCCGTTTCACTAATATATATAAGAGTTTGAAGAACATTTTCACTTGATATCGAAACTTGAAAAACACATAATTAAGTCTTAATAGGGTATGCGCCGCCTTGCAGGTTTACTTAATTTATATTATCCACGTTGTAGTCACTTAATCAGAAATTAGTTCTTATGGTTCTGACAAACCATTCCATTCTGTTTTGTTGTAGTAGTCTTAAATTCTTCACATTAGTGCAAGAACTATTTAACTCATATTAAATTTAGATCCGAAGGACTTAACCTGTTACTGCACTAAGGTCATGAAATATAGAAATATTCTGTGCATGGTACATTTTGTTCTTAACTGACGCATGCATGCAAACTAACTTTCCCATTATACACATTAACAAATCTATTCAGTTTGAGAGTATATTTTTGTTTCACATGAACATTATTGTTTGCATGATATTGTAGATCAATAGAAATGAGCATAAAATTTTAATGAGCATAAAATTTCATCTTGATACTAAAAGAAAATAGGGCATTATTATGTTTCAAGAAATCATACAATCTTTTATGAATAATATGTCAGTGACAGTGTATCAATAATAAATCTCAGTTCAACCAATTACTCAGTCTATAAAACTTATATCTGTTACAAAAAAAAGTAATCCACAGAATATGTGATATGATAAAAAGAATAATAGTAAATCAATCTGTTTTTTATCCTTCTTTTTCAAAAGAAGTTGAGATTTACAAAGTCAGAAAGTACGCTTAAGTAGAAGTATGTCATATTATTGCAACTGAATATATCCTTGATCCCTACCGCACATTTGGGAAATAGTGGGGACTTTGACTTTCTGATACTCAAACCCTCTGTAAAGGCCTCTAGTAGGGACTGTCAAATCACAAATTCTAATGCTTAAATTCCCCACTGACTATAAGTTTGGCACCAAAATAAAGGAAAAACCCCTAGATGTATGGGGATAGAAATCTTAAATGTTCAAGAATAAACAGAAGGAAAAAATTTTCTTTTCTTTTTTTTTTAACAAAATTTTTGATGATGAACTCAACTGTTGTTCGAGTTCATCAATAAACTGTTGCCTTATAACAATTGGATGAATTTGTTTGTTCTTACTCATACTGTTTTCTTTACTTCAGAGAGCGTGTACGTGGCAAGGATGTTCGTGTTGAAGATCGTGTATTCCTCGTAGAGCCTCAAGCACCTCCAGGGTACGACATGTATAGATCTAAAACACAGGAGAACTTCACTAAACTCAAAGCTATGACTATTGCATGAGACGTTTTAGATATTTTTTTGTGGTCATTGCTCAATATAATATATATATCAAAAGCAAAAAGCAAATTTGGAGAAAAAAAAAACTTATTTGTACCATTTAGTTGCATAATGCTGGCAAATAGATCCCATAGTATGTTATTATAAAAAGTATAAGATATTTCATTTTTTGTGTTCAGTTATCTGCCCTTGTATTGCGCTACACATTTATGAGTGTATAAGCTTTTTTCATAAAATTTTAAAATTGTAGATTGATAAAAGTTTTAATACTTACCCTGCTGTGACCTGAAATGATCAGCTCTTGCCAGAACCGAGTATAGATCTAGGTCAACCGGCACATCTATACTGTTACCTGACTTTTTGAATTTTCATGTTGATATTGTGATATTCCCATAAATGATAAAGGACTGTCCCGTAATTGATAATGGACTGTCCCATAATTGATAATGGACTGTCCCATAAATGGAATCTGGACTTGTCCATTTAAGAAATTCAGCAGGTTAAGGGTCAAGATAAAAACAACAACAAAAATACCCAGTACATCAATGATCTCAGTTAAAACAAATCATTTTTAATTCATAGTTAATCAAATAACAAGTTTTATTGCAAGTTAAACAACTTTATGGTAGATTTTTTTTAATTGATTTTTTTCATTTTGCAGACATCATTGTGTGAGGAAATAAAATGTAATATATTGTTTGGTTTGCTCATAGAGAAATTGTTGTTCAGTACATGTAGCTAGAGATATCTTTCTGCACTAGAAGTTGTCTTGGCTTTTCGAATTGTCAACTGGCAGTATATTTTTTCTGTTTCAAGAAAGACAACCTGGCAGTAATTTTTAAGTAACAGGTTTTAAGTTTCTTGCAACATTTCGACATTGCTTAACAGCTTAACATTTTCGGCTCTTAAGGTATCTTGATTTTGTTTTATAGAAATCAATGAAAAAGCAAAAAAAATGTCTTTTTCTAGTTAACTTTAGTAATGAAATTAAATTTCTAGACATTTTGTTAATTACCGTATTATAAGTATATTCCTGTTTTATTTAGTTCTTACTAAACTCATGTTGTTTTTTTCTGAACTTAAAATAGTTTTTTTTTTCTCTCAGAACTTATAAATAATAAAAAAAATTCTGAATTGACTCCAACACTTGTATATTACCAGACTTGTTAAATAGACCTCTTCTTTTTCTTCTTTTTTTTCTTGAACATTTATTTGAAATGTTAAAAGGTGGATTATATGATTGGAATTCTTGATATTTTTAATTCAGAATTAACACATTGTTGCATCTGCTATAGAATGTTTTCACGGTAAACACATTTTGTAAATTCTGCTTGGAAATAATTCGGAAGGGCACAAGAGATCTTTCTCTACTGCTGAAGTGTCAGCAAATATGTTGATATGACTGACTTTCAAGAAAACTACTTGCTTTATATGCTGCCATTTTATATATTGTTGAGTGCATTTTTGTCTTTGCTTAGTATTTTATTAGAAATCAGATTTTTGAAGAATTTTTTAACCTTGATAAAATGGTGATATTGTTTGCACATTGCACTAGTAGTATTGCAAATACAGTTTAGTTAGTTGAAAACAAAAATCATTAATAACTCTTAAACATTCAGTTTAAGATAAAACAGAGTATATGTGGAGGATTGACTGCAAAACTGTTGTAATTTTTGTCCTCCTTTATTTCATACAATTTACTGCAGTTTTGAGGTAAACCCTTCTTGTATATTGTATCTGATTTTATACTGTTTATACACTTAATAAATATTATATTCATTTTATTTAGCATCGATAAGAAGTGAAAAATTAATATTTCACTGTTGTAATGGATTCTGATGTATAAACAATTGATTTAAGAAATGGAACTACATGTATGTTATACAATGCAGTAAGTAATATGTAAAAATGTCATTTTAGTTTATCTATAAAACTTCGGGAATACTTTTCCTGTTTTGCTTTTAAAGCAAGTAGAATTTTGTGAATATGAGGGTTGTAAAAAAAAAACTGATATTACGTTTATATGATAAAATTCATTATGAACTTATACTATTGCCATACTCATTACTTATTTGGATTTATATTAATGTTATTCCAAGATACAACTATCAACGTTTTTAAAAAATATTAATAAAGATATGGCGTTATTTTTGAAAGACCCTTGTATTTTATTGACCTTATAGATGTACACAAAATATTAAAGGTCTATAATATACTTTCACAAACCAGACATTTATAATTTGTATTGCTCAGCTTTTACATAAAAGAACTAAATCTTTGTATATGAATGTATAGAATTTAATTACAGTAGACGAGATAAATTAAGAGTAATTAAACTTATTCTATATATTACAAATAGTATGTTTACAAATTCAGTATTACTAGTTACAAATAAAAAATGTAGGAGAGTTGCGGCAGAGTGGAGGGGCTTTGAAGAATGATATTGTTTTATTGTGATGATTCTGTGCAATGTTACAGTTTTAGATGCTTGTTATTGAATTGCTTTCCTGGTGCAAAACAGTTTTATTGTCAGTATTATATAAAAGCACTTGTCTCAGTATTTATGTATTTGCCTTAATTAGATAGCACAGTTTTTTGTTGTTGAAAGTTGATGTAGGTTAGATTTGATCTTTTTTGATTTTTTTTATGTTTATGCTCATCCTCCAATCAAAAAATAACTATACAGGGCACCAAAGTGCAACGGGGCATTAATTTGAATTTTATGAAAAGTAGTGAATAGTTGGATGTTCCTATATGTGAAATGTCCAAGTACAGTGTACAATAACAGACTGAACAACTTTGGTTGTTTATTTTGTTTATTCAGCAATTTGTTCATATTGAACATCCAACATATGAAAGACCAACAATTGTTCAAAGATTCTTAAAATAACTTTGTCCGTATTGGTACAAGAAGAATGTATCATTTATATTGCATACATGTAGCATAAAGGAATGGCAAAGTTATTTTTACTTAATGCTTCAAAATTTCAATGATTATAATGTTTGGGTCAGACTACCCCAACTTACCATTTGCACTCTTATTTACAAAAGGCCTATGCCACCAGTCACTAGTACTTGCACATTCATGCTTTCTGACCTGGGACTAAATTTTAAATTTTAGTATTGTTATTAAATTTATTCGAAGCAACAATGTATAGACAGGGAAAATCTATTGCATAGTCTCAGCTTCTAAGGCCTTGCATATTTGACATACGATACAAATGTATCTATATATGAAGGGCATAGGCAATATTAAAAGATTTCAGATTTTACATGAAATTCTGTGATAATTTATAAAGTTATTTAAGGTTCGAAACCATCTTGTAAACTGCTGAAAGTTTTTTGTTTTTAATTTTTAAGAAGTTTTAAACATGTTTATCCATTTTAAGTGTATTTTTTAGTTAAATGGAGTTAATTTAATCATGAAATACAAATTGAATTGGAACTAAATGTCCGTTCTAGTTAAAATTGTCTCTGCAAGATACTCTATTTATAATCTCACTTCTATTATATAGGAAAAAGTTATGTCACTCTTTCAGTATAGTAAGCAATATTAATAAAGTTTTATAAAGATTTTACATCATTTATAGTATTTTATATATTCATCAACTGTGATAATATAAGTATCTCACAATATTGTTATAAACATGGTATTTTTTTGTTTTACATTGTTATTTTTCATGTCTATATTTACTTATTTTTTTGGTGTGTATTTTCTGTGTGACTATTAAAATGATCTTGTTGAAAGAAAAAATTCTTATTTTTATTTCAAATAAATGTGCAATTATTTCGGCAGCAGGCAAGTAAAGTGGTCTGGAACCTTGCATAATCTGAAACTTATACCAAAGAATTCAATGGCATGATATATTAACTCATAAAATGTCAATTTGAAAGAAAACAACACTTGTGACCCCAGTAGGGTTTGAACCACCTGGACTGTGTAGCTTGTAGTAAGTGGTTTCTACAAAATGTTGATTTTACATGGTTTAATTTGTATAGTGCAAGTTTTCAAACCTGGTTCGCAGTTCCAGGAATTTGACGCCAGAGCCACTTAAAATAAGCTGAAACCTTAAACAGTTGGGCTTAAATAAGAGGGTAAATGCACTCTTACATGCTTACTTCTGCAGAAGCTCAAGGATGCATTTAAGGCCCAAGTCTGGATGTCACAGCCCTTTAATTGAATCATTTCCTGGATACAACCAGTACTACCCAATGAGTGTCAGTTTCCTGCCCCTAACTGGATTTATAAGTGACTTATGGATTGCCAGCCGACCAAAAAAAAAACTTACAAAAACATAGGTAGGCGTTTTGTTTTAGTGATGGCCTTTTAAATGTTGTGACCAAATTATCAATTGCACAATATGAAACTTTGGTCCTGTAGATCAATTAGCTAAATAAACTAAATCCAAGTTACAGCAAAATTATATTAAATATCGATCAAAACAAATTATGTATGATGTTGTCCAACATATCATTTTCTCCAAATGTTATAAACTACAAAGGTCTACAGATGAATATCCATTAGTTGTGGCAAACTTTTAGCAAAATTCAATTTTACCATAAATGTCAGTCATACATGGTCAAATTGTTAAACCTACTTGAAGGTGTTTATCTATGTCCAAAGTATGAATTTAATACATACATTAATAACCAAGTTGTAGCCAATATCAAGGAATCAACCTTGATCAAGGCCATTTATTTGTATGTTAAATTTCTTATGAAATACGCAAGACCAGATGACAACAATTCTTGTCAAGTATTGACTTCACAAGATTGACCTTCATAATCCAGATGACAGGACAACCTCAATCGTGTATACCCCTACTACAAATCTATTATGCTAAAACAAGACACCAATTTTCAGTTTCATTTTTATTTTTGCCTTATTGGCATCAAAGAATTGTAAAACATATAAAACTTATAAAAATCTTTTAAACGTGAACATAAAACAATTAAGAGAAGGCTGATTTAGTGATTAAAACTTGTTTATGAAACCAATAGCAACAATTGAATAGTATAACAGATTGCTGCTATTGGCTCCAGTCCGACAACCTATGGCACATCTGGTTTCCTTCATGACAAACAGTTAACATGAAGTTTGGTTAAGTATCACAGTTGTAAAATGGTAATGAAAGACTTGTAGGTTCCTAGGAACGATCACAGATAACAAACCCGACCATGTCACCCATCAACTACCCACGCAACAAGACAGAAATTCTCACTATCACAGATATTTTAAAACTGAAACAAATGAAAAAATTCTGCCCAATCTTTTGGTAAAATATTACATGTATCCCCTTGACTAACAAAAACAAAGCCTCGGGGTAATACAACTTTCAGTTTTCTAAAACCAGAAAGTACAGAATACTGAAGCTGTAATATTCAAATCCCACATACTACTGCATGGACAGGTAAATCATCCTAGCTAAACCTATGGAATCCCAATGTCTTGTCGTCACCATAATTATGCTGTCTGGCTAAATTGATTTCCAGACAACACATTTCTCTCCCTTTACAACCAGATATAAACACAACACCCTCGATGTGAAATGGACTGAAACCCAGTGATTGTGCTGTACAAGAACTCTTGCTATCAGCATGTATGATATACCACGGTTATCAAGAATTTTTATCCCATCAACAGCCATTCTCCATTTTAATACTTTTTTGGCTCGATGATTGTACACATAATGGATAAACTATTGATAAACAATAATGATTGGTCCCTATGAATAAATGGAAACTATGATTATCAAGTAAATCACCCTGAGAAAATTTTCAACAATAGACTAGATGTGAGCACTTGTTACATGTGCTTTGTTCATTATGACACCTTAAAAACCCACTAACGTTTCCTGGGAAACCCCTTTCCCCTCTTACAATTTGGTTCAATTTGGCACACTGGTAATTTTTTTTCTCTCTTAACCATCTGATTAACCTACCGGTATCAAAATGATATGTGCCCCAATTCCCTTACCCCTGAGATTCGTCGTCTTTCAGTGCCTACAATAGGCAACCCTAGCACCATTTTTACAAAAGTATACTTTGGCAATACATGTACACAACTTTTACCATGTCATTATGTCCCTACATTGTTTCTTACACTATATGACCAGCTGCTGATCACACTTCTATAATTGTTCTTTTTTTTTTACACAAATAGTGTACATGTATGCCTGTTTTATAGCACCAGATATTACTGTGTCCATGATTGTTTCTTTTGTTATCACAAAACTTCATTCTCTACTGTTTTTTAATGTTCAGTGTTTCATCTCAAGATGTTCTCGGTTGTTTCTTGATGTTTATTTCACTTGTATTTTGACATTTATCTATATCTTTTGATACCTTTCCTTAGAATATCCTTTTTCACTTATTCCTTGACTGACGTTTTCTTACTGTGTTCTTCAGTTGAACAAATGATGTAACCTGGTTGATCCTGTTTACCTGGTTGATCCTGTTGAGTAACCATCAACTATTATGTTTAAACAGGTATTTTTTTTATCTTGTCAAATCACAATTTTTTTCATCATGGATTTCACAATTGTGTCATTTTCCTAATTATTTTCCTTTCCACTGGATCTGAATCCTAACAACTAAAGCGACTTTAAAAACAAAGGAACAAAAAATTCTAACAAGCTCCCCATATTTACAAAGCAAAGGTCACTATCCTTTTCAGGTCTTTAAGAGCACATATCCAAGAAGCACTTCCTGTGTAGCTTGGTTTAAAACATATTTACACCACTCTCCTCTTTTCTAATCTCAATGACTCACCGATTAAAACAAAAGTAAAAAAAAAATCAACAAAGAACACGTAACAATTTTGTAGTCTTCAGGTTGTCCTCTTCAATCCCAGCTTTCATCATCTTCTGTGGTATTGAAGGCGGAGCTCCCACCACCTCCCATACCTCCAGTAAACCCGCCTCCAAATCCACCACCAAATGTGGGATTTTCTCCCTCATCACGTGTCTGAAAAAAATTAAATAGGATTCATGATAATTTCTGTAAATAATTTAATCACAACAATTTTATTCTCACAGTTATTGCAATTTTATTTATAAACATTTATGTTTAACCCATTCTTTTCTTATAAACTTCACACATTTATCAGGCCTTGACATTAACTTTTTTATCAGGTGGTAAGCCGGACCACTAGATTTGAAATTAAGGTGGTCCTTCCAGAAGTCAAGTGGTCAATTATTATTATTATATCAAGTTTAACTGTAAGTTTAGAAAAAAAGTATGCTTAAAATTGATGACAAAACTAAATGTATTTATTAACCTTTAAAAAGAAAACAGACATTTTTAGATATATATTTTTATCTGAGAGCGAAGTTAGTAGGTATTCTGTTGTGAAGTTATTGTTTTTTTTTTTTTTCATAGCTCATTCAAAAATACACAACAGGGCTCTTATTTGTGTTAACTTACATATTGAAGTGATTTCTGTCTCAACTCAAGTTAGGGAATAGTGAAACCATTTGTGTCTGGGTTTTTTCCTTACTGTTATTCAAATATACATTGCTGATTATAAGACGTACCACGTATCTTTTATAGATTAACAATTTAATAAAAACTAATAAATTATCTTAAAACAAGAAAATTTCTAAAGGATAAAAAATAAAAACAACTTTATATATAACTATAGTTTAGCTTATTTTTCTCACAGATTTATTATGAATACAGAATTTTTACCTCCCCGTTGCTTGTTGGTTGATATTTATTTTTTACATTGAGTATTTTTAACCTTTTTTATCAAAAATTAAAAAAAAAAAGTAAATTTTAACTCTGGAAAGAAATGGATCTCTTAGCGTTAAAAAGTTAAAAATAAAGATAACTAGCAAATAACTTGATGTATTTCTCAGTTCCTTTAGTTTGCTGCCCATTATTTATGTATATGAAATTGAAAGTTCATACGGTATCCCATACAATATCATAATTACAATCGTCGGATACCACATGTGATTAACATGTAAATTAAACATAAATGTTAAAGGTTCACCGTGGTAAATCCGATGATGCATCATTACTAGCATCATTTGAATGGAATTTGTACCTAGCTTAATATCACAAATTCTTAACTCTTTTTAACTTTGCATAGACAAAATTTTAGCGACTTAAAAATGAAAGTTATTGATGATTTAAGACCTTCTTTAACTTATCAGATTAATCTATTAATGAACCATATACATGTTCATAGGAAAAATGGTTTGAAACAAAATATATATAACATGTTTTTGACCAAATCGCCTTCTCCCAAATGAGCCTTGCACAAACCAGAAAATTCAAGTGGTCCGACGGACCAGTGCATTTTAAAATTAGGTGGTCCTTGCCAAAATCAGGTGGTCTCGGACCAACGGACCACCGCTAATGTCGAGGCCTGTTTATATTATCTGAAACTACAGAAATGAATTGACAGCATTAAGATATAGTCACTGGCCAATTTGTTTACTTTAAAATTGTCAAAATCCGTGTTTTGAGCCTTGGAAAGCGACCTCTTATTCCTCCAGTAGTTTTAGAGATACATACTTGTATGCAAAAACTTAACCCAAGGGAGACACATGACAAATAGAGAATAACAGGTTACTGTCTTTTGAGAAAGGGTTTCTCAGACGAGGTTAGATATGGTCCTGGAAAGGGCGAGGCTTGCCGAGCCCCTTTCCGGACCATATCTAGCCGAGTCTGAGAAATCCCTTTCTCAAAAGACAGTAACCTGTTATTCTTTTTATCATGCCTCTATTATGATTTTGCATCTTATTTTTTTTATTCGGGGCGCCAATTTCTGAAAGTACGGTAACCACAAGAGGGTAATACGCCAAAAAAGTAGTTCGAGGGTTTTTACCAATAATTTTATAACACAACACAAATTTTGGTACAATTTGCTTTAACAATTTATTTACTGTGTATTATCATAGATATTCAGCAAAGTCAATTAAACAATACCAACAATAAACATCATCAGTGCTGATCTGGCGTAGGAACATAGTGTTCTCAAGTCACTGACTGAGAAAGGTTGCTGTTCTCAGACAGGCTTTATCAGGCAGTTGTCATAGTAATGGCATGATAAATAGCTCTCCCTATTCTTTAAATAGTTGACCTAAAAATTATTTTGTATATAAAGCTGTTGCGAAAGGCAGCAGGATTCAATGAATCAATAATATCATTTATATACCAATAAATTAACCATACCTTTGGCATTCCTTTTCTAATATCCTTTCCACCAAACTTGCCTCCCATTGGAATATAGCCAGCCGTAGAAACACTGCCTTGACCATACGTTTCCAACCATTCAGGAACAACTTGAGACGCCTGTAATATCATTCTTTTTATATTAAATATGAGAATACTCCAATATCAATAGAATGACTGATGCTTTTTTAAAAACTGATACAACAATAGATTCAATTTCAGTTATTTATACAATATTTAAATGTAATATCACGATTTGAATGTCGAGTATTAAACAAATTGTCCTACTTAAACAAATAAGACATTTAACTACTATTTTTTTTCAGTTTATTTATTCATACAACATTTCAGCTCATCTCATTACTATAATTATTTACTGTTCATGTCATATCATTATTAACACTTACCAATTAGTATTTCATCAATTAACCACTGAGCACTAGAGATTATAACAACTTTCCAGTTGTTTCTATTTAAATTTTTTTAGATAAAATATGTATAGACCTAAACACAATGCTGTGGAAGTCTAGGAGTCAAAAATTTGCAGGTAAATAATGGTTCAAATGACCACAAAACTATAAATTTTTTATCTCACACCAAGTTAAACTAAGTTTACCTGTGTAAGAATTTTGACTAGAGCTTTTGCCATCCCGGAGTCGGAATCGTGCGTGTAGAAAGACGTAGCTTTACCAAGGTTACCACATCTACCAGTTCTACCAATACGATGAACGTACTCGTCGATGGATTGTGGGAGATCATAATTGACTACATGTTTAACAAACGGAATATCAAGACCACGAGCAGCAACTGAAGTAGCTATAAGTATCGGTGCTCTCCCTTTCTTGAAGTCTTCTAAAGCCTCTTCTCTTTCCCTCTGCAAACGATCACTGCAACATAACCAAAATTATTTTAAGACGTCATTTAAAATGCATCCAAAATTGTTAATATTTAGATAGTACTTTTTTCATATCCAAAATTATAATGTAGAAATTCATTTAAATCAACTGTCCGCAGGAATTATTTTAAAATACATATGGTCAAATATTGTTCATCGACAGACATTAAAATATTACTGGACATTTGTTCAATCAATACTGATTTTATTCTGTTAGACCTTACAGTCATGTCAGACTGTTTTACATAGATTTAAAGCTCCTTTCGTCATCTAATATTTTAGCATCCAACACTAAGCTTGAGGAATGGCAAGCTTTAAAATCGTTAAGGAGCAACCCCAAGATAGTCATAAAACCCGCTGACAAGGGTGGTGCCATTGTCATTCTCAACAAATCTGATTATATAAATGAAGGTTTAAAACAACTAGGAAACGCATCATTTTATCGCGAAATACCCAATGACATCACAATCAAGAGTACACAGGAAATAAACAATTTCTTAAACTACCTCAAGAAACATCACCTTTTACCAGATGAACACGTAAAATACATGCAACCTAAACATCCTCGGACCCCCATATTTTATATGCTCCCCAAAATACATAAAAAAGATAACCCCGGGAGACCAATAGTCTCAGCATGCGAAGGCCCTACTGAAAAAATCTCTTCATACATTGATCACTTTATCAAACCATTAGCCCAACAAGTCCCCTCGTACATCAAAGACACGAATGATTTTTTGCTAAAACTTAATAACTTAGGGAAAATACCCCCTGATTCAATATAAGTAACTATAGACGTAAGCGCCCTATACACATCTATCCCTCACCACGAAGGTATTAAAGCTCTAAAGATAGCCTTAGACCAACGCTCAACACAAGAACCAAGAACTTGGATCATTCTTAGACTTATGCTTTTTGTTCTGAAAAAAACTGGTTTTAAATTCAATGATAAATTTTATGAACAGATATCAGGTACTACAATGGGTACGAAATGCGCGCCAAGTTACGCCATACTATTTATGTCCTACCTAGAAACAAGATTTCTCGCAACCCAAAAATATAAACCATTGGAATGGTGGCGGTTCATTGACGATATTTTTATGATATGGGCCCACCCTCGACAGGAATTGTATTCCTTCCTGGAGGCTATAAACAGCTTTCACAAGTCAATCAAGTTCACTTACGAAGTCGACACAGAAACGGCTCACTTTTTGGATGTTACAATCACAAAAGACTCTAACGGGTACTTAAACACAACGGTATACACGAAACCCACCGACGCTCACCTTTACCTCCATTATTCATCATATCATCAAGATCACCAGAAAAATAGCATACCGTACAGCCAAGCTGTCAGGATTAGACGCATCTGCAGCGACCAAATAGCATATGAAGAATGCACAAGGAAACTGGAAACCAACCTAACAGCCAGAGGATATCCGTTACAGTTAATTAAAAAAGCAATCAAAAAGGCCTCTGCACTAAATCGAGACGAGCTACTTCTTCGTCAAAACAAACCTATTATAAGAAAAACAATTCCATTCACGTACACATTCAATCCTAAAAATCCACCAGTTAGCAAATTGATAAACACGCTCAAAAATATTCTATACGAAAACGATACGACTAAATTTATTAAAGATACAGCAATTTTAGCAGTCCAAAGAGGACAACTAATATAAAATCGATTCTTGTTAGATCAGCATTACAGGTACCCTCAAAATCAGCGGAAGCTACCCGTGCGGCGAAAAATGTTATGCATGCCCATTTATGGCCAAATGTAAGGAATTCAAAAGCTCGCAAACGAATAAAACCTACGAGATCAAAGGCAACTATACATGCAAAAGTACGAGTATTATATATTTGATTACATGTAAGAAATGCAATATCCAATATGTAGGTCAATCTGGTAACTCATTTAGAGACAGGCTCTGTGGACATTCAGCTGATATACGCGCTAAAAACAACGTGAAACCGGTTTCCCGCCACTTTTTGACGCACGACGTCACGAACATGAACGTCGTCATAATACAAACAACAACAAAAAACACGAACGTCAGACTTAGAACCGAAGAAGTTTGGATACGTCTTTTGAAAACCAAACAACCAGAAGGTTTAAATATCATTCAGTAAATCAAATATGGAAGTATATACAGCTAGAAAAGCTACGACAGATGACATAAATGCGGAAATCAATGAAGAACCAGCAGTATGGGACAGAATATCACGTAAGAAACAGAAGAGGACAAGAACAGCCAACTTTATGAGACTATGTGACATATGTGGATATATCTCGACAACATCCTCCATGTTTTACAAACACAAGATGAAACATGATCAAACTGAAAAAGAAAAAACAGAATACGAGTGTAGTTGGTGCCTAAAAACATTTTCCAGTAAATCTAACCTCAAACGGCATGCAAGAAAATCGATGCATATGACGGAAGTGGAGCTACAACAACCAAAAAGAGCAAATAGAACACCAAAACCAAAAGTTGAGAAGTATGATCCGGAATTGAATTATAAAGTGACCCCTAGATTTAGGATCATTGAAGGAAAGAATCCAAGAACAGAAACAAAACAACCCAAACAAGAAGACGTTGAGGACTGTAAAATCCAGGTACTAGATCTTATTACACCCATAGTTTCACCAAATAAAACTCTCCATGATACAACTCTCTGTAGAGAGACGAATATGGACAAAATAGCGAAAGCAATGAACTAATCATTAACATTGTCAACATCTACGGAATTTTCCAGAAAGAACGACAAATGCACGTGTAAACTGTCTCATCAATAAAACTAACCAAGGACTTGGCACAGTGCCAATTACCAGAACGTTCATGTTACTATATATAGTAACATACGTCATTTACATATCCGATCATTTTGTGTACTTTAGCTATATATTTTCAATGTAAAATTGTCCTGAAGAAGGTCTTTAGTGAGACCGAAACCGGTAGACCATAATTAAAAGAAGTTAAACCTACCCTGGTGTTGGTCGTTTTGCATCTCCTATATCCCGCTTTTTCTGTGATCTAATATTTTTGTTTAAACTATGCCTGGCACTGGATGAGCCACTCTCAAAAAAGGTGACCATAAATATTTTGACATCTTCAAGGTCTTTCAGAATGTATCAATTATTTTTAGAAGTGTCCAGACCAGATAGTGATTTGAACATACAGGATTCCAGTTACCACATATGTTTTGAAACATATATAACATATACCTACCCATGGATACTAGTTGCTGGAAACCCAGACTGAGACAAATATGAAGCCAGGAAATCTGCATTTCTTTTCTGTTCCACAAACACAAGTGTCTTGTCTGACCCTAAAATAGAAAATTTTAACAGAGCAATTAAATTTAGGTATATATATCTGTGTATAAAATATCTTTACATTATAAAGTGATGAACTTTACACAACAACTGATGTTAACATTGCTTATATAATAACATGAAGTTTTGGAACAAATGTATTATATAAAACATTCAACTTAACCTGCAGAATTTCTTAAAAGATTTAAATAGATTTGTTTCCAGTGTCCCTTTTTAAAACTGTCAATTTATTTTTGGGGGTATCAAAATGAAAATATTAAGTCTTTAAATGGATTCACATATTAGCCTGGCTCTACAGTGGTAGAAAAGACTACTAAACTTATAAATACAACGACTAAAGATTGGAATTCCATTAACTACATGTATTACATAAGTGTTATCAACTGCCTAAAGTGTACATACCGGATTCATTCAGGATTTCTGTAAGTTTGTCTCGCTTCTGTAATCGATCTACTTCGAACACATGTTGCGAGACATCAGTGTTTGCACCTCCTACAACTCCAACACTTAAGAATAGGTAATCATTTAGGTATTCGGAGGCCAGCTTCTGGATCTCCTCCGGGAATGTAGCACTGAACATCAACGTTTGCCTCTCTGTTTTCCCAGGCATTTCAAAATCGCTGATTATCTTCTTGATTTCTGGACCAAAACCCATATCTAACATCCTATCAGCTTCATCTAGTATCAGATACTTTATCTTCCCTAAGCTTACCTAAAATAATGTACATAGCAGTGATTTTTTTTCCTCATTTTATTGGGAAGAGACATTAGCCTTTCAATTTTTTAAAAATATCGCTAAAATTGCTATAATGAGAAGTAAAAAAGCTTGTGCAAGTTCAGATTTTTGGAAAATCTACATGATTTTAAAGAAAATTTTGATTGGAAAGAGGCCTTTTATAAGCAGTAGGAAGAGCATCGTATTTGTAATCTAGCAGTCTCTGGTTCAATCCCAGGTCAAGGCACAATTTCTCAGCAAGAATGGATCTTAATGGTTAAGTCTCACTGATGTTTCAGACCTAATGAACAATTTAGAAGTTGATCACTTGCAGAGAAATTGCTAATAATTTGTAATCTAGGAAAACCTTTGTAGACTGACTGCAGATATGCTAAAAAGTATATGCTAAAACCAGCACAAGACCAAACAAACTGAATTTTCAAGAGATGAAAACATTTAAGGTAACACAATGAGATTTAAATATGAACTTATTACTCAATGGCGATTATACATTCTTTAGCTATTACAAAACTTTAAGCAATATATCAAGATTAATACTTACTTTTCCCTTTCCAAAAACGTCAAGGAGACGTCCTGGAGTTCCCACTAGAATATGGCACCCTTGTTCTACCTGACGAAGCTGATACCCAACAGAAGTACCACCATACAATACAACAGGTCGGAGCATGGAACCATGAGCAAATTTCCTAGCATCCATGTATATCTGTGTAGCTAACTCTCTGGTAGGAGCCACCACAAGGGCTTGTGGCTCCTGGACAGCTGAGAAAGAGCTTCCCGATAAACCAGCCTTCATCATACCACTCAACACTGGCAGTAGAAATGCAGCCTGAACAAAAACAGATAACAAAATTAAAGCAGAACTCCAACAACCAGAGCAATGCCACTATAACTCTAGGTCTTAGCAGATGTAATTGTTGCCATTTCACTAATGAAATTTTTTCAACATATATAAACATTTTTATCTCTTTGTCAGGCATTAAATATAGTATCCATCCAGTGAAACCTTAAATTTCCTAAACATTGAGCTTTTATTTCCTACATGATATCTGGACACATTTATTCTTTTGCATAGTGTTGTATTTTTTCTTCAATGATAAAAGTTGTAACACTTTTAAACCTTAGTCTTTTGGCAGGAATTGATTCTATCAATATGACCGTGGAAGACCAAGATCAAGTTCTGCATTGTTTGTATTCAACGAATATTCATTTAGAAATTTTCTGTAAAATTTTGGAATTTGTTTATATTGCAAGATAGATATTTTATGTCTTAAAGGGATAAAGAAGCCACTGCCACATGAATGATAATATTATATACAAGACCAAGGATATCTTTAACTATATCCAATATCATTTCAATGTACATTTCTAGAGGATGAACATTAACTTACAGTTTTTCCAGATCCAGTCTGTGCACAGCCCATCAAATCACGTCCAGCAGATATGATGGGTATGGAATATTTCTGTACAGGTGTTGGTTTTTCATACTTTGCCTTCCTCACATTTCCAAGGAATGTATCGTAAATTCCGGCATCGTCAAAACTTTGTATACATGGCGGTGCTTCTCTACCGGTGACCTCAACAGGAATCTTGTCAAAGTTATCAAAGTTTATACCTTTCTGTATAGACATGAATATATCCTCTTCATTCTCAGAAGGTGCTGGTGGGATATATGGTGGTGGACGATCACCATCTAAAATTATTCAATATGATAATGTACGACTCTTCTTGCATTTATAAATGCCAAAAATCATGAAATTATTGAACCTTTAACTTTTAACTTAAGAACAAAACCCTACTCTCTTGCTTTTCAAAATACATCTTGTATAGTCTATCCTTCTTTCAAAACTAACCCAGACAATACAGTTACACTTAAACAGGAGAAAAAATATCCTTTAAATATATTTGTTCTTATTTGTTAAACAAAATTGTACTCAATGTTTTCCTCTCTCTTAATACTAAAGTAATCAAGTTAATTGATAAATCTTACCTAAAGTAACACCCTTCCCATCACCGCCTTTATCAGCATTAGGACATTCTCTTGAGAAATGTCCCGCTTCACCGCACTTGAAGCAGTTTTTGTCTCCCCCGCCACCTCCTCCTCCACCACCTTGAGGACATTCCCGGGAAAAGTGTCCCGTCTCTCCACACTTGAAGCAGCTCTTGTCTCCACCGCCTCCACCTCCACCACCCTTTGGGCATTCTCTGGAGAAGTGTCCCGTCTCGCCACACTTGAAACAGCTTTTGTCGCCCCCTCCACCACCTCCACTTTCAGCTGCAGAAAGATTTTTAACTTTGTATTAAATCACAAGAAATATTCAGCTCTTAACATGTAGATAGCTGACCTGTTTTTTTAAATCAATATGATTCATTAAAACTGGACTGAATTCTGCAGATGTCTAGAACATTAACAACATCAGCCATTTTGACTTATTTCTTTATCTTTCTCCATGCATCTTTATATACTCTATATCTGTATTTTATCAAGGAACTGCCAAATCTTAACAATTTAAGGGATATCAAGATGAAAATGTGCTTTTGGTTAACAGAAACGAGTATTTTTAAACTGCAGAAAATTTGCAAGCGAGGCATCTAAATTGTTGATTTTGGGCTGTTTTTTTTTTTTTTGCCTCTGGACACCCGAGGTAAAAGTTATTGAGAAACCTGGTAACCTTGTGGGTGTTAATATAATTTTCCTTTTAAATTTGTGTGAACTGTTATTGAATATCCAATCTTGGCACAAGATAGCCTTAATAACTAGTTTTCTTACATCTTTTTATAAACATTGGGAGAAAAACATAATTTCACAGTAAAAATATTTTAAATGTGAACAAAACACAGACATAAAGTAACCTCCACCCCCTCCCAAAAAAAAACAACAAAAAAACACTCAGCTATAAAATAATCTTTCCCATTTTCTCTTTATTATAACTTTTTAATCTTGACACTGTGTGTACTTTAGTTCTGTAATTAGAAACTTTTCTCTTATAAGCTTGACATACTATCTCTACACATATCTTTCATCTTATTAATTTCATCTCTAAAAACCCTTTATTACAACAAAAATGTTGGAACAATAACTAGCACTAGAATTACACTCATTAATGCTAACAGACACCAGCCAGTTTTGTTTTATCTCAATTAACTAGTGTTTATCTATATTATTTATGCCTTTTCTTGTTGATGAAATGCTTTTTATCTGGCCTAATTAGCAACACTTGCTTGTGTTTATCAGTGTGTACAATGATAAGTGTTGTATGTATAGGTGATGCCAACCACTACTAACAGGCCTTTATGAAATAGATATCCTCAGAAATGTTCAGTTATTTAATCTTTACTTGGGCTTGTATGTCATTTCCCTCTTTCTTTATATATCTGTTTAATCTCTTTACAAACTATAGAAACAAACTATTTAATTGTTAATTTAATTTAATAGTACTTTATTGTATACTTATAAATGATAAATTTACACTATTTAACTTCCATTATCTTAAGCATTAATACATGTACAATTTACATAAGAAAGGGTTGAAAGTTATACAAACATTATCAAGGGTCCAACCGACTTCCTAAAAAATCTTTTTAATTGAAATATACATTATTATTTACATTAATTTTATAACCAGTAAATTCAATTAACTGAAAATGAAAGTGCAGTGATCTATTAAATCATGTATGAAATGCATAACTGTTTACTGGCCTGAAACATAATGCAAAACTTTAACTGAAAGAGCAAAACTTTAAGGGAGAGAGCTTAGACCAGGTGCTCTTCTGTATCTACTGATAAAGCAGTAAATTAGTTAATTAATTTGGCAGACACACTAATGCATGATGTAATTTATATAATTACAACTACCACAATTATTATCATATTATACAATCTCATAAATCATTCACATATTAAGAAATATTTATCATTAAAAATTTATGGAGAAAGGAACAGCTAATAATAATTGATAATAGGGTAGTATCAGGAGAAATTTAATAAATTAAATTAACTTTTCACTTTATTTTCAGTAAGATAACATGCCTCCAAGCATCCGTTTTTATTTAAATCTTTCAAGGAACATAATTTATAAATTTATAAATTACATGCTTGTACTTCTAAAATAATATGCACAGACCAAATTTCTTGAATATTTTCCTAATAAATCAAAATGAAGGCAACATATTTTCTAGTTTTCACAGAACGATTCTACAAGTTCTACAGTAACTGCATTATTTAACCCTTACCATGCTGTATATCTTAAACAGACTTCTCCGTCTTTAAATCTGGCCAAAACCATCATTTTTAGGGACAATTTCAAAATAAATACTTGAAGAATACTAAGTTTTGAACAGTGTGAACTGACAAGATGGCATGGATGATTGTATGCATGGTAAGGGTTAAAATATGCTTTGTACTACAATTTCTACCACATCCCATGTTTTATTTAATCATTTCAAAAAGATATAAGAATTCATTTTTTTTCTAATTATAAACCATGTTATAATTATGTAGTTTATCATAATAACCAGCTGTTACATTACATGTAGCATTATTCCTAAAACCACATCAATCTCTTATGTATTAATATAAAATGTACACTATAAAAAGTAAAACAAGCATGTATCTTAAGCACTACGAAGCTATGAACAGTGTGCTCTACAATCAGGATATTCATTCAAAGCCAGTTTGCAATTTAACTATTTATTTATAAGCATAATTTACTGGGGTTTTTTTTCCGTATACAGAAAGTATGATACATAAAAATGCACTTAATAAATATGAAGCATACAAAGAAAAATATCTAAAGCGATACAGAAAAAAAGAAAATTATTCCAAAGACAAAGAATGTTCCCCAACATCAAAAATATGTAAGAACATGTGAAAAACTATTTTTAGCATCAGTGACCTTGACTTTGAATCTCCAACAAAAGACTGAGAATTAACATAGGTAAATCATAACATTCTACTGTATAGGTAAAATACTAAATATGAAAGATATTGATCAGTAAATAAAAGCTGTATAAGCAAAGTGAATAATCTATTTTTAGCACTAGTGACCTTGAACTAGTACCCCTTAACACCACACAAAATTTAAGGACCATCCAAGGTAGATTCATTCCAAGTAAGTGTTATTCCTGGTTAGATGTAAAGGCTGTACAATCAAGTGAATAAACTAGAAATGTGTCCATAGGACACGGGTGCCCCCACCGCGCCACTGTTCTGTCAATCTTTTTACTAAGTCAAGGGAAATAACTCTACAAATACTGGATAAATCCACAAGCAAAACCCCAGGTGCAAATCTAAAATATGCTGAGCAACCTGCCCATAAGGTTTAATGACTATGTCAAATCCTTTTTGAGAAACTTGCAACACAAGTTGAAAATTGCAAAAATTTTCTAAGTGAAGGGCAATAACTCTAAAAATATTAAATAAATCCAGACTAAAATACCTGGTGCACAACTGCACATGCTGATCAATATTCCTGTAAAGTTACATGACTCTAGGTCAAATACTTTTTGAGTTACGTGCGACACAAGTTGAAAATTGCAAAATTTTACTAACTCAAGGGCAATAACTCTGAAAATAATAAAAAAATCCACTCGAAAATACCCAGGTGCACAACTACACATGCTGATCAACATTCCTGTAAAGTTTCATGACTCTAGGTCAAATACTTTTTGAGTTACGTGCGACACAAGTTGAAAATTGCAAAATTTTACTAAGTCAAGGGCAATAACTCTGAAAATACTAAAAATATCCACTCGAAAATACCCAGGTGCACAACTACACATGCTGATCAACATTCCTGTAAAGTTTCATGACTCTAGGTCAAATACTTTTTGAGTTACGTGCGACACAAGTTGAAAATTGCAAAATTTTACTAAGTCAAGGGCAATAACTCTGAAAATACTAAAAATATCCAGACGAAAATACCCAGGTGCACAACTACACATGCTGATCAACATTCCTGTAAAGTTTCATGACTCTAGGTCAAATACTTTTTGAGTTACGTGCGACACAAGTTGAAAATTGCAAAATTTTACTAAGTCAAGGGCAATAACTCTGAAAATACTAAAAATATCCAGACGAAAATACCCAGGTGCACAACTACACATGCTGATCAACATTCCTGTAAAGTTTCATGACTATAGGTCAAATACTTTTTGAGTTACGTGCGACACAAAAGTGAACGGACGGACGGAAGGACGGACAAGGGTAAATCTAAATGCCCGCCACTAACGTGGGGGCACAAAAAATCTATTTTAGCACTGGTGTCCTTGACCTTGACCTAAGTGCTTCCAAACCCCACTTAAACTTAGAGGACCATCCAATCGGTGACCTTGACCCCTATGTCCCCATACTCCAACAAAGATGTATTTTTACCAAATAAAAGACATTTGTCAATTAAAACTTTTAGCACTGCTGACCTTGACCTCAATGACCCCCAACCCCACCAAAAGTAAGAACCATCCTAGGTATCTCCCAACCAAATACGAAAGATATTGGTCAATGAAATGGAAGTAAGCAAGAGAAATTGCAGGAAAGCACATGTATGCATCTCAAATATTTTTAAATAGCATAACATTTGATCATCATTTTCACCAAGTAAAACAGCATCCATGGTAATGAGATTGGCAGAAATACAATGATAGTACATTATCAACACCAGTCCAAATCACCACACAGCAATAAGGGTAAAGGAAGAAATAATATACAAGGATACACAGCAAGTCTAGGTTATTATATATCACTAGTTGTGCACAAATCTTACCTGAAAATCGACCTCTACCACGGCCAAAACCTGGCAACAGTATTACATAAAATTATTTCATCTTGAAATTTAAATGAAAATTCTTGAAGTTAGCTTGACTATGGAGAAATAAAATACCAACAATATACAAATAGGGGTTTATAGCCAATTGTCTTGGATTTATTTTTTTCATAAATGCATGAAAACACCCAAGAAGTATTCAAATATTTCTATATCTTTATTTTCTTTCCCTTAATTCTTACTTAAACTCTTAATGAAACCATTGCACCACTGAAAATGAAAGTGATTAGCTTTTGCTACCAGAGAAAGAGCAAGGTCTGCCTGCACATGGGTTGGTGCAGCCTCAACTGACCCCATACTGTTGGTAGCTCATTTTTTTTTGTATTTTGATTAACTCTAAATGGACAGTTTAAAATTTGCAATGGACGAAATCCATTACATAATTCAGCAGGTGAAAGGTCATATAACAATCTTTACATCGGGCCATAAACCCCTCATGTATAACCTTGGTAAAACTTTCCCCAACATGTTCATACATGTGATTAAGATTCAGTCAGGCATTGACATACATGCAATTTTCAAATATATTTCTATTTACTTACTACTTATATTATGTCATTAATGCATATAACAAGATATAAATAGCAACAGTTGAATAATCTGTAAGTTTAAAAGCATCAATTTTTAGAAAACAGTATTTCAAAAGATCTTCAGTGATACTTAAATATCTTCAATATTCCTCTCTTATGATTAGTCATACAGGTGACAGAACAGTTAAAATCAATATTCGCTTTTCATACCAAGAGTTGTATGAAATCAATTTAATAACAGTAATATCATATAACTCTGAAGGACATATTAAGAACATGCAAAAATCTTTCATTCATTACTTGCTATTCTGAACAGATTATAATCAAAGTAAAACATCTACTTTACTTTATTTAATAATTTCATTCCACAGTGCAACAAAAAAATGTACACAGTAAAGTTGTAAAAGCCATTATGCCTAAGACATGCTCCCTTTTTATTTCTCAAAAATGTTTATACTTGGTATTTTGTTTCAATATCTTTTTACTCATTATGTGCATTTATATGATAATTATAATAACAATTTTATTGGTTATTTTCTATGTACATCACTACAAGTTAATTTCAAGTGGGATGACACTAGTCAAATACTCAAATTCTCAAGATTAACTTTATTAAATTTAATACTGCACCTTTTTTTCATTTTCAGAATTATTTCATTATTAAAATGAGAATATTACCTTTTTAGAACAAAATCAAAAGGTTAACTATACATTTTTCATTAAAAAGTACATTACATTTAGATATAGAACCATTTACCTTTTATTTTTAAGCTAAAGCTTTAAAACCAAATAGCTTGAAAGATGTTTCATTTAAAAGAAAATAAACTTCTCTTACTGCCAATTTTTTTTAAATCATATTGTGCTAATTTTTTTTAATCATATTGCAAAAAGAAACCTTTGAGGCTTTACTTTGATGTAACAAGTGAACAGCCAAATCGTTAGGGCTGTGCATTAATACTTTTTTAGTATATTGAAAAACATTGTATGTCAATGCCGATAACTGGTCTCAATTCACATGGCAACTGTGTAGAAAATTAACAATGTTACAACAGCTGGGTTCCCAATAATTCCATCAAGCAGGCAGTAACATTGTATGAATAAGGCCACTCTTAAAAAATTATCTGTTTGCTATTGCCGGCCGACCCATCGAAAATGCCCCGGCTCAAAAGTTTTTTTCAGCTTAAAAAAATCAGATTTTTTTTTATTTCCACCAAATCAGCCAGGGCATTCGACTTAAAAAAATCCCTCGAAAACAAAAATAAAATCGGAGGAAAATCACATATTTAATATGTAAAGTAACGAGTGATCATTCATGAGGGCATTCTGTGCGTTCCTATCTAAAGTATTTACATAAAAAGCGACCAACCAGGGAAGGATATTTTCCTTACGTCACGCCAGTACTGCATGCGCGCGGCAATTAAGTTGAAATTAACTAATAATATAACGTATCAAATTAAGGTGTTGGAAACGGGATTAAAAATAATGTTTGTTCAATTAATGAATATTGTTAAAGCATTATATGGTTCACTAGTTTACCATGTGTAATTTTAATGTGCTTTGGCAGTACATGTTACGTTTGTTATGCGACTGTCGACACAGATTAAATACTTAGCGCATGCAATAAACATTTTGGTAGCAGCGGGGATTCTGTCATAAAATTGACCGAAAAAATAATTTTTTTGGAAGCTGTGGTCCTTTCATATGCATTATTGTTTTGATAGCAGACACAAAGTATTGCACAATATCTTCAAGATCATAAAAATGTAAATAAAATATCACAGATATACATACGTCTAATTAAACTCCATGTCAAAATGCACTTACGATTAATAATATGTCAATAATTGACACACTAAATATCCAACAGTTTTTTTTACTTGAGCAATAATTAAACATGTGTAATCATTCATTGACAAAAAGAAATGACAGTTTTTTTTTCTGATATATAAAAAAGAGGTGGAAGTCAATTGAGTGTCGGGCATTTTTTTTGATGATTCGGCAACAACTACAGGTGTGTAAACATCAAAGATTCACAGATTCTTCAGAAGAGCCGACCAGTCATTTGTCAGAGGTCATTTCGTGTGTAAATTTTGTATTTATTATTTAACAATGGAAACATTATATTCCTTTTATTTATGGATGCTACTTTTTGCGCGAGTGTTTTTGTGTCTTTTAGCGCTATGGAATTTCAACAATCGGCGATAATTTTCGGTAACTAACAATGAAATATTTTAACATTTTTAAAACAGGGGTGCAAACATTTGCCATTGACAAATCTTGCGTGTGTTATTTTTTACAGACGTGTAATAGATTGAGTAATGATCACCCGAGAGCATGAAATGTCCTGGAGATCCACTATAATTTTTTCAGTTCGTACGGGAATATTTACGCAGGATAAGTTTATCACAGTTCGGTAATTTGACCATGCTTGAATTTATGTCCACATAGTCATTTTTTTATTTCATGTTATGATTACTAGTGAACATGTTTTTTTATTGTTTTTTGACTGTCTTTACATGTCAGTTTTGCCGTCGCCGATGATGATAGTGTAGTCCAAATTTCCACAATCTGCTACAACGTACTACGCGTATTAACTTACGTTCAGTAAAAATCATATATCAAAAAAAAAAAAGCCTACCTACCGACCCACTCCTTATAACTCTGGGTCGGCAATAGCAAACATATATATTATTAAGGATGGCCTAAACAATGAGACTATAAACAGGTTAATTTTCATCTCAATAATATATACCACTTGATTACATACATCGATTTTCACATGTTTATCAAATCATAGAAATATTGCACCACTTGACATTTTTACTTTTTTCATAATATCTAACTCAGAAATCGAAAAATGACAAAATATATAGGTATCGATGAGAAAATTAACCGGTCTATAGCAAAAATGATACAATTGATGAAGGGTTATACAAACCATTGGGGCATTCTCTTGAGAAATGACCGCTTTCTCCACATTTAAAGCATCCATCACCTTTTATAAACAGACAATGATCAATGATGATAAAATGCATGACTATCCACTGTTAACATGGTCTATGAATTATTGAACATTCCATTCCCTCATAGATGATGTTTTATATACAAAACTTTTAAAGGATTTGATAAACCAAGTGATCTAATCTTGAAACAGGGCCCCCCATTCTACAACTTGATGAGTTTAACTTTTCGATCCCTTTATCAATTTTCTAAATTTGTTATTTTTTTAAACCATGGCAATAATATGAAGCTAGGACAAAAACTAATTGCTGACTACAGGTGGTTATCAAGGCCACATATTAATCCATGTAAATTTAATAATAATATGACATTACACACACATATGATAACAGGTGTTACAGCTATTTACAATGTGATAAAATGGCAATGTACCCACAATGATAAAAGAGTTAACAAGCATTTTATCTCAGGATTATTGATGACCACACAAACACCAAACACAACACAGGCTTTACAGACTGACATTTACTATCTGCTTTCTGGTCATACAGACATTTCTTTTCTTGTATCTTGTATCTAATTTTAAACATGCTGGAACCAGAGATTTGCTTCCAGTTTTATACAGAAGCTGATCAGCCTATACAAACACAGAACTTGTTCTGACTCTATACTTTGAAAGCTTGACTATTTTGCTATTTTAATCACTTTTCCAGTAGACTTATCTGTTAAAAGTTCCAAAAGGTCAATGGCAGAATACATTTCCAACAAGGGATTCATGTAGATCTGTAAACAGTAATCCCTCAACATAGACATACATGACCTTGAATGACATTTAATCTAAGACCAATTTACAGGGTTGTCAATTGGAATCTAGGCCAAAATGACTATCTCTAATGCATTTATTTTAACCTTTCTAAGCCTGTCCCGATAGGGAAAGGATTATTAGTCTTTAAGCAATGATAATAAATCTACTACAACAGCATATGGTATACATGACAGATCTTAAAACATACACATACCTGATTTTTTCTCTCCACCACCAAATCCACCACCCCTGCAATGTGAAACCAAAGATAACAATGATTGAAAATTGATGAACTCACATAAAATCTTAATTTTTATACTGGCCTAAGTTTTAAGATTAACTGAAATATATTAAAATATTGTGTCCTTTACATAAAACAGTATCAGAATATTATGCAAGACACAAAGATTTTGGCTTATTTAGTTCGATTCAAAAAAATAAATATGCATGTATCACATTAAAAATTAAGTTACAAAAATTCTAAACTTAAGATTACAAACTTTAGATACACACCTAGGTGGACGGTCACTTCCAAATCCACCACCACCTCCACTGCCGAAACCACCTTTGCTTCCAAATCCACCACCCCCACTGCTGCTGTCACCATTCTCTGACTTATTTCCAAAGCCACCACCACCTCTCCCACCACCAAAACCCCCACCCCCACCGCCTCGTCCCCCACCAAAACCTCCACCCCCAAAACTTTTCTTTTGTCCAAAACCCCCATCACCACCATCTGTTCTGTTAGATCCGAACCCCCCACTTTCTGAACCGTTGGATCGGTCCCCGCCTCCAAAGCCTCCTCTTCCACCTCCAAAACCATTTGGTTTGCTGCCACCAAATCCCCCTCGGCCTCCTCCAAAGCCATTTACTTTGCCCACATTTGTATCTCCAGCACTAGAATCATCTTGTCTTAGTACACCACGACCAAAACCTTTCTGTCCTCCCCTGTTTAAAAAAATAATGCTTTAGCTTGACTGCAACTCATCTTTCTGGAGCAGAAATTTGTTGAACAAATGCTCGTTATCCAAATTTGTCCCTTAATGTGGAAATATTATAAATTTGTAATACCCCATACCTTACCCCAAATAATTGACATTTTCCCTTCTTTTTTTTTTTTAAATAATTATACAAACAAAAACCAAGAACTTTTATTTGTTTACGTTTTTCCTGCCTCTGCCTAAAGTAGCCTTTTATAGTAGGAGGCCCTTAATATGACCTTGAATTTGCTTTATAAGAAATAAAATGTGTATTACAACCATTATTGATGACAAGACAAAATTTTATTTTGATTGGACTCTCATTTAAGGTAATTAGGGCACTGTATAAATCCAACTTATAATTTAGTATCAATTCTACAGATTAAGCATTAAATAGTAACAAAACAGAACACAAACATCTTCATTCTATTTAAAACAATTTGTCTTACTTCTTCAATTAGAATTGAAAGCCTAAAAACTGTATTTAATTTAGAGCACAATAAAACACACTTACCCAAATGATGGCGCTACTTGAGCCTGCAAATGGAAAATAGTATTCAGTATATGTACTTATTCTACGCCACATTAGTCCACATTATAGTTGACAAAGTAAGGAGATTAAACGAAAATGATTAGTAAATTGTTTTCACTTGTTTACAAGAGATTAAGAGTTTTAACATGATGAACTTTATTCTAATTACTTTTACAGAACAGAAATTAAGTTTCAAATTGGTTTCATTTAAAATTAAATCAACCATGCTTAATCTTTTGCTCTGGCCAAGGAAATTAGTAAATTGTACTCACTGGTGATTCATCCCAGTCATCCGACATTTTCACCTATAAAAAGAAATAGTCATTTTAATGTGTCAGTCTTCATTAATTGAGCCGCGTCATGACAAAACCAACATTGTGCGTTTGCGAGCAGCATGGATCCAGACCAGCCTGCGCATCTGCGCAGACTGATCAGGATCCATGCTGTTCGCTTACAAAGTCTATAACAAGTAGAGAAACTGATAGCGTACAGCATGGATCCTGATCAGACTGTGCGGATGCACAGGCTGGTCTGGATCCATGCTGGTCGCAAACCCATTAAATTGGTTTTGTCATGGCGCGACTCAATTCAAAATTTGTTATTAAAGGCAGGTTAATCCTTAATTTATAAAACAAACCACTTAAACTTCTTGGTTACGAAAGTTAATTAAAATTATTCCTTAGAAAAAAATATTTTTGGATTTTAAATTAAACTATCGTATTTTTTCAAGGTGTAACTAATTAACTATTTATAGCTTTATGTAAGTTATATCAGAGAAAATTTCAAAAGTTTAAAAAAAAACGGTTTGCTATAATCTCCTGATAATATTTTTAATAATTATTGTTATTAGATGCTAGATGTTATTAAAGTGATTGAAAGACTGAATTAAACCAAATTATAAATTTATGCTATGTACCTGCTTTATATTTATTATTTAGTTTTAATGAAAAAGAAAAAAAAAGTTTAATCAAACAATGTTTACAGTGACAAAAGAATTATAGTTATTATGGCTTCTGTTTTCTTTTCATTGTAAAATTACATGACCGAATGTTTCGATTTTCCCGTGCATGAACAACTAACTTTCCTTACCCGATAATTAAATGTGTTAGATTTTTCAATATCAAGGAACTAATTACGAGTAGCTATTTATTGTGAGATATTTATAAACATTGAAGTTAACATTAAATGCAACAAGTATCTAATTGTTGATGGTTTTGGTAAAGATTTAATCTTACGTAAAATATATAAGAGGTATCGTAAATCTTTCAAGGTACCTGGAAATTGGCGTTCCACTTCATGAAAATTGTCATTTATGATTATTATAACTATGAAATTTAAATATATCGGTTTAAAACGCAGTACTTATTCTGGGGCCGATTTGATAAAGTGCCGAAACGTCTGGGGCCGAAATGTCTTGGGTGAATAGGGGCCGATATTTCTTGTGGTCGAAATGTCTCTAAATAAAAAAAACACTGGTTGAGTACATGTGCTGGGATTGACAAATATACCTTTTATATTTTATTTGGATTTTAAAGGCGTTTTAAGCTCCACACCCAAAGTGTCTGTGTTTTTACCTGCAGGCATAGACAAATGCAAAAGCTTTCAGAAAATGTCTCTGCTGAAATACATCAGGCATGTGCCAAATTCCCGTGATAATAACCTCAAATAAACACATAGGTCCTTCATGTGACTGAAAACTAATAAGTGACTGTGTCTCCAATAGTTGATAAAATACATCTTGAATTTTCATGGACTTGAGATTTTTTCCAAAAAAAAATATACATAATTTTCCAGAAAATTCACCACGAGGTCAGGTTCAAAGTCTTACAACATCTATCTTAAAATAGCAGAGCGCGACAAATTTATTTATGCTTATGATGAAAACAGTACTTGTAATTTAAATATAGCAACTGATTCTGAATTACCTTCTGCGTATTTTCTGTTTCGTTTTGGTCTTGCTAAATGGTTTCCCCTTCCCGCAAAATTACGACTTACTCCTACCACGTGACTTGGCTATATCCGGTACATTTACGGAAATGGTTAAATTTCGCGGAAATACACATCATATTTCGGTACCACTAATATACACAATGGAGTTTTTGGCGCAACGGGCGCAACATTGCTAAATTTAAAATATAACAATAAAAAACGATTAGCAAAGCAGTTTTTGAATTTGCATTAGTATGTGCTGAATAAAGTAATACTTTGAAATGATAGAAATCATCTACAAGCAATATTTTCTTTTTATAAGCATTGTATAAATTTATTCATATCTCCGTTGCGACGATGAATTGTTGCGAAACGGGATTTTTTTTCAAAACAAGCAAACAATGGACTGTTTTTATTAGATATGCACTAGTATATGCTAAATAAAGTCATATTTTGAAATTAATGAATAAAATAAAAGCATTTTTTTATTTTAAAAAAATAAGCATACTGGGATCCTATAGATATTTACCGGACAATCAGTTTATCGGACAAAATCTATTCGTGCTTTATTTTTTGCTTCAATTAAAAAATCATACAGTCTGAATCGTACACACACTGTCTATTTTAAAGTAAATAACAACAAAACCACTCTCAGCTAAATATTGTTGATTCAGTTCTTTATTTACTAACATCCCCTTTTGTTTACTTGTTATTTCATTACCTGGTCATGCGGGGGAATAATCTGTTCTGCGCAGGCCCGAATATGGAAACCCTAAATAGGTTATTTTAGATAGGTTTTGCTTTTAATCCTTCTCAACGTTACCTCAAGAGACAATCGTAACATATTTTAATGATAAAAAGTAATTTTAAACTTAGTCCAAAAAGTATCTCGTTGTTGTCTTTTACAAAGAAATGCAAATTAAAAAACATATAAGGAAACGAGTTACGCCCATTGGAGGAAACTCGACATGAAATGTAATTAAAATAGATTTTATGGCTTTTGTAACATGCTACATGATGACCAAAAGGAAACTGTACGACAAAGAGCAGAATTCCATTTGAATATCAAAATGTTTCAAACGTTTGAGATTCATGAAGAATCAATACGTTAATTAAGTTAATAGTGTTAATTTCAATTACACCCCATATATTGGCCTTTTCATAAAAGGCATGGCTGCCGTATCTAATTCTAGTGATATACTGGGTTTTTCAAATATCTTAACCTTGCCATTCAATAGTCGTAGTTTCCTTGCTGATTATTAAAAGATTAATTTCAATTCACGACTTCAAAAATTTTGAAACACAATGTCCGGTAAATTGAGTTGTGTACACGATATTTTTCTCTTATAATGCCCTACTTTAAAGACTCATTTCTACAGTCAAATGCTAAATTTCATGTTTGATAAAGGAATGTTTACGTGCATTAAGAACCCAAAATTATTTGGGTAAAATTCCATTTTTTTATTATTTTAGATAAAAGTTACAAATAAAAAACATCATATTTTGTCCGATAATATGTATATAGGGTCCCAGTACCTTTCAGAACTCCGTTGCGCCGACAATGGACTATTTTGTAACTCTAGCTACTGGTTTCCTACCAGCAGTTTCCGTCCGCTAGCAGTTTTCCGGCCGTTTATCATTTTCGCCCATTACAGTCTATTTTTACCAGTAAGGCATCCACATTACTTCATCAACCAGAGAGACATTTGTTTTCTATGCTAAACAGCATTTAAAATAGTAGAACGATTGATAAGTTTTGAAGTTTTGTCTGTTATTTAGAGTTACATAACAGAACTTGCGACTTTCAAAAATAAGCCACACCTGGGAAATTCTAGTTTGAATATCCATGCGGAATAACTAGGACCCCATTTTAGGTAAATTAATACTTTGGAGAATATTTTGCAGACGACACGGAAAAGGTTGGGAAGATCTGTTTGTCTGATAAGACCATCTTAACATTGCTTTATGGTTCTGAATTATATTCAAAATAAAAAAGGTCCGGAAAACTGCTATGAATTTTTTAATAAAAGTGAAAAAAGGTGTTACATTTCAGGCCTATATTCAAATTAAAAAGTAAACTGAAAGTGCAACATTAAACACATGGCAATGCTGGACAGGTACCTAACTTTGTCCTGTCAAAGTTTTGTACCCCTCCGTAGTAGACTGATTTTTATTTTGGTAACATGTATTGTACTTAAGTTTAAAGGACTTTATGCTACTAGCAAAGAGCGCAACGGAGATATATCTTTTTTAGATAACGTACAAATCATGTAAAAGTATATGAAGTTACTGTCAATAAAAATACAATAAATGATTCATGGAGGATAAACCATGTTTGATTTCATTGGGGAGAATACTGAATAAATCAGCTTCTAAATGGGCGCAAACTCCTCACAGCGGTTACGTCACGCTTTGCTACTTGTTACTGTACAGATCAGGGGAAGTAACCGCTGCGAGGAGTTTGAAATGGGCGGCGAAATGGACATAATTTCGACGCAACGGAATATAAAGATTTGCATAACGTGTGGATCTTATGTTTTAAGTAATATGAATTGAGAATTATAAGTAATATAGCCTTTTAAAAAATGATTCACATTACTTTATTTTGGAGTATGTTGAAAATAGCAAGGATATTTACATTTCGGCGAAATGGACACATTTTTCGGCGCAACGGTGTTTCTGTATACAAATGTTTTATGTTTTTAGTTTTTCAGGACCAGAAAAAGGTTGGTTTTAATTAATTTAATTTAATTAGTATATGTTTAAATTTAGTAGTAATAATAATATATAAAAAAAGCAAATTTCAAATAGGGAATTTTGTTCGTACAACGGGGATATTTTGCAAAAGAAAGATTTTTAACTATACATATTGCACATGGTCCATGATCTCCACTGCGGCAACGGAGAATTTGCCCACTTTCATTAATAATGTTTTCTTTTCGGCGCATTGTTGAAATTGGGGCTCCAATAAATGTGCACCTTCTGTCAAAAGCATGAAACTTGGTAGCCTGGGATTCAGGCGTTGATATTTTTTGCTTATTCATAACATACGCGCTGTTTTATACTCGATCGTGTTTTGATAATATCATGGCGAACAGAAGCACATAAAAAAAAAACAACGACTGACTGGAACCCAGGCTAGAAACTTGGCATAATGAAAAGAAAATGTAGATTTGAAATTACTGTCATACAGTCACGGAACTTGTAGTAGCCTGGTGGAAATGATGGAAGTAGGTGCATGGAGCATGAAAAGCCTTCATGATTAAGTGGAACTATTATGTACCGTCCAGAAATTTCACAAGCTGAAAAATGTAAGTTGTTTTAAGATAATTTAAAAGAAGAAGTCCCGTGAAATGGTGTTTTACACCATGCACGTAAAAAAACATTCGTTTCTGTTGGAATGGAGTAATTTCTGTATTCTTTAGCTCAAAAAGGAATACAAACAGACTTTTGAGCTTCTATATGGGCAACAGTTAAAATCCAGAAGACGGGTACGCCAAGAATAGCCATTCTTTTCTGTTTATAATATATTATGATAACGTAAATTACAATAAACACGATAAAAAGTGTCTTAAGATGTCCTTATATGAATAAAAAAAGTAATTTAGAAAGTCGTTTATTCCGCAACTCGATAGGTAATTTCCGCTATCCCTACCTACCTTTGTGGACCTATATGTCAGATATACACGTGTGTAAATATTTCCCGCTAATACATCAAAATATCTATTGTATTGTGTTATTTAGCCTGTTTTAAAAGTGTTTTTCTTTTGTAAACGAAGATTTTGTAAAAAAATTTCAGAAATAAAAGAATTATTTTATATAAAAGTGCTGTAACTGTACACGATTTTCCAATAAATCCGCCGAATTTTAAACACAAATAGCCATTCAATTATTCGCGTCGATGCTACCGGAAGAACTGTATTGGAAACAAATACATGAAAAGTAAATAAATGAATAATAATTATAATAACTGACAAAAATCCAATCCTATTAGATTTTATTTCTTTTTTAAAACAATAAGCGAAATTTACGGCTATGTATTTTTAAACCTTCATTATATATGAAATATTAACTTTCAACTGACCCACAAGCTATATTATGATAAATACGTTATTTCTTGAGTCTTTCTCACCGTGAAATACACTTATCTCGCTGTGATTTAAGTGTAATAAAACTTTAATTGATATCTAAATAGGATCCCAGATAGGATCTAAATATGATCCTAGATAGGATTGAAATAGGATGCCAGATAGGATTGAAATAGGATCTCAGATAGGATTTAAATAGAATCCAAGATAGGATTGAAATAGGATCCCAGATAGGATTGAAATAGGATGTCAGATAGGATTGAAATAGGATCTCAGATAGGATTTAAATAGAATCCAAGATAGGATTGAAATAGGATGCCAGATAGGATTGAAATAGGATGCCAGATAGGATTGAAATAGGATCCCAGATAGGATTGAAATAGGATCCCAGATATAGGATCTAAATAGGATCCCAGATAGGAACTAAATAGGATCCCAGATAGGATTGAAATAGGATCCCAGATAGGATTGAAATAGGATCCCAGATAGGATCTAAATTGGATCCTAGATGAGATCCTTTCGCAGGAGGAAGCTACGCAGTTAGCTCACAGAACGTCGGTGGCTCTACACAGGTGCTCTGTTGTGCTTGCAATAATGTACGGAGGGGCACATGGGGTCTTCTACCGCTAGTAAAGCTAAGAAGTCACAATATGACGTTTATGGCGTTGTGCGACATAAAATCCATTAAGAAATAAATAATAGTAGCGTTTTGAACAACTACATTGATCCATCTGACTCTTTTAAGACTAGATCATTCATCTCTATAGTGCATTTCCAAGGTTTAGCAAATATAATTTATGACAAATCTCACTTAAATTCTCACTCTATGTATTTCTAAATTATAATATTATTTGCTATTTCATATATAACGGTAACATACCCGCAACCAATAAAATAAAGAAATTGGGGTCCTATGTCGAAGTAAAGGGAAGATTACTACGTGGAGCATAAATAAGCCAGGCTTTTTTTGTAAGGTAGACAACTCTTCTAGCGTTAACTTGTCTAGTGCCCTAAATTCTCGCCCTTAAAAGTAAAATGTTTAAAATTGACTATTTTGTTATTGTAAGGTTTTTTTTAATATTTCATATAAAACAGTTGTTTTTATTTCAGTACAAATATGTTACTTGCTTTGGTTAAATTTTTACTAAGCATCACGGCATGGTATGATGAACTTTGCAATCAAAATTACTACTATTATGTACATTTTATATAATTATATTAGGTGGTTATATATATGATCATAAGAGGACTGATTCGTTTACATTTGAAATCATTTTATGAGATAGTATACCAGAATTTCCAATTTTTAACAGTCCTATCATTAACAAGGATTAAAACGTTTACCAAGCAAACACACAACATTTCATTCTTTTTAGGAAATGGTCAATGAGATGAAAAGTAAATATTCACTGTTTGAGTTTTATATTTAAAATAAAATGACGAGGATTTGCATATCAGTGCTCAAGAGTGTCAGATATACTGTTTAGATAGTGGTAGTATTAAAAATATTCTGACCAGTATTCTAATTTCGTTGCAAGTTAAGGTGAACAAATGAAAACCACAAGGTGATCTAATGTAAAAGGGTAAGTTTTTTTTAAAGAAGTATTTTTCGTTTATTTTCTTTCTTTTTTTCATTTTTTTTTTATAATTATGATTATTTTTAATACATAACATCAATTACGTATAGGTTATTGCTTTATGTGAAATCTGTCTGGGGTGGCGCAGTCGCTGGAAATTATGGAATTGACGCTGGCTTTGAAACTTTATACAGTTCGAATATGGTGGCCATTGGTGGGATAGAGTCTAATGACAAGTTAGTGCCGATTAAACACCATACCCAAAAGTCTGATACATAAAATTTGAAATTCTTACAGAGATTAACTGGGATACTTAAAACAGAAAAAAATATGTAAGAATTATTAAAGAAATATATTGAGAATGTAATTAAAATCGATTTCTAGTGCTTTTTTGTTGGGTCATTTTGCACAATAAAATTATTATTCTAGAGAAACGGTGTGAGCAAATGATCTGAAATTTTGCACACAAGTTTGTATAGACCTACATCGAATGGTATAAAAAAATCTCGAAAAAGTAATTTCAGTCCCATCATATCAAAAGACGTCAGCCGAGTTCCTTTAATGTACCAAATAATTTAAAAATAGAACGGTATCATCGGACAACATATAATTCAAACCACTAATCTTAAATATATGTTAAAAGTTTTGGTTTCGTATTTAATTTATTTCTTATCACTCTGAAAGATTTAAGATATTTAGTTGCATTTAGGGACAGCATGCATCTTTGTATATACATGTATATTTATATACAATGTACAATGTAAGATAATTAGTTGTTAATTAGTAATTAGTTGTACTAATAGCTGATAAATTTACTTAAAGAAAAATATAAATGATTAAACTGAACGTTATCGATGTTATTTGGTACTTATAAAAGATGTATTCATCTTTGTTTTATTTTATTATTATTATTATCATTATTATTATTATTATTATTATTATAAGTAGTAGTAGTAGTAGTAGTAGTAGTATCATCATCATCATCATCATCATCATCATCATCATCATCATCATCATCATCATCATCATCATCATCATTATTATTATTATTATTATCATTATTATTATTATTATCATCATCATCATCATCATCATCATCATCATCATCATCATCATTATTATTATTATCATCGATTCATCATCATCATCATCATCATTATTATTATTATTATCATCATCATCATCATCATCATCATCATCATCATTATTATTATTATTATTATTATTATTATTATTATTATTATTATTATCATCATCATCATCATCATCATCATTATCATAATCATTATTATTATTGTTGTTGTTGTTATTGTTGTTGCTGTTGTTATTTGTTAGTCTTTGAGTGATGTTTCCCATGTTTCATATATGGAATTAAAAGCAACAAAGGGTAATAAATTTAATAAATTACATACACATTTTCAGGAAACACCTCAGTACATGTACTTAGCTAATATAAACATATTCTATTAATACAACTAGTTTTCTTGATGTTTAATCAGATAACAGACCTCAGTATAGTTTGGGGTTGTATGGTTAAGTTAACATTTGCCAGCTCATCCGTGTCAACAATGTTGATAATTTATCAAAATGTTAGTAAATTCTATTTTAAACATTTTTAGGGACGTTTTAACTTCTTTTTCCTCATGCAATATGACTCCGACCATTTATTCAATAATTACACAGAAGAGCCATTCTGATTATTACTTTATTCACAGGTATTGAAAAGACAACTATAGGGAAGTTGGTTATAAGTTTTACAGTAAAATTGGAATAGTGCTTATATATTCATGGTGGTGAGATGAATTAAAGGATATAACATACTGGATAAAAGTTCTAATCTGAAGATCTTTGACTCTCTTTACACCTTTATTTTAAAATTACAATTCAGCTCGGACATCTTTCATTAACTAACGCATAAAACGCTGATTTGTTTCACAAATTCTGAAAGTTCAATCAAATACAGATGGGTTCGAAATCAAGTAAACGAAATCTAAGCCCACATCCAGTCAAAAGCAAGAACTTGCAAGAAGTCAACTATCGCCAAGAAAACCAGCTTGTACAAGAATATTTACCAGTTACGGGTGGTTCAAGGAAAACTACAAGGAAGAGTTTAAGAAAGTTTATAATTCTTTATTCATTGGAGACGCTTCCAAATTTGCTGAACATGTATTCCGTACGTTTGATAAGGACGGGAGCGGTACGGTAAATTTTAAAGAGTTTCTGATTGGGTTATGTGTTTCTGGAAGTGATACGACCAATGACGTTAAGCTTAAATGGGCTTTTGACATGTATGACATTAATGGGGATGGCTTCATATCTAAAGATGAAATGAAGGAAATAGTTGAGGCAAGTATATTTGTTTGTCTTTAGTCATATATTAGTATTTATTAAAATAATCAAAAGAACTTTAAAAACGCCAAACATGGCAAAATTAAAAATGTTGCAGACTCGGTTTGAGAGAGTCGGACGATAGTGGGATATGCAAGCTACGTTCAATACCCCCTGTTTTCTTAAGCAGAATTCAACAATTATGTTGAGGCTGAAATTGGTTACACTCGCAGATGTGTCCATACGATAATTCTCACGAAACCTTCGATGTGATTCTTTGATTCGGGCGCATGTCCCACAAGAAAAAGACTATCTGGCTCTAAACGAGAAAACAAAAACCAGAGGTTAAGAATACTTATATGATCTTTTCAAGATACACCTTTGTGACAACATTTTGCTGGTTAATTTTAAGCTTAGGCAATAATATTACAAATTCGATCTATAACGTTATATTTTGGTTAACAGTGTGACGAAAGATTGTCTATCAAAGAATCAATGTTGTTAACAGTTTTTTTATCATAATACTATCAACAAAATCATAATGTCTTTGTTGTATTTCTTTGACAAAAATTTCTATTCTTTACACCTATTATTTTCACCAGTACATATGCCTCCATACTGATAAACTTCATATATAGGACATTTACCTGATAGTTTATATCTATATTTATATATGTTGCCTGGATAAAAACTTTTATTTTGTTAGTTGGGTAGATGCTCAATTGCAATTTTTTTTCGCCCTTTCCATCAGTCTTCGGAATAATAACCGAGATGTCCCGACTGAGAGATGCTTTATCTGAAACTAAATCTTTTTTTCGAAAAGTTTCTCCAAAAGTGAAATTTGAAATAGCTGACAAATTTGCATATTGAGATAGCAATTAACTCGCTTTATATATTTTTCTTTAAAGCATTTGCTATATAAAAGAAATTGCGTAAGCGATAAAAAATAGTGGTGGTTAATTTTTCATGTATTATCTCAAAATATAAAGTTTCTGAAACGTAGATGCTATGAATGAATGAATGAATGTATGTATGTATGTATGTACATACGTACGTACGAACGAACGAACGAATGAATTAACTTATTTATTTATTTATTTATTTATTTATCCACATTGCACTAATTACAAATAATCCGCAATATTCATCGCCATGGTAATTTATTTCTTTTAAAATGTACACATAATCGTATTATATGTAATTACCTTTAGTAAAATGATAATCGATTTAAATATTTCAGGCAATATACAAGATGACCAACGCAAAAGCACCAGCAGAGTTGGACACCCCGGAAAAAATGACAAACAAATTTTTTGAAGAGTTGGACTGCAACGGAGATGGGCAAATTTGTTTTGACGAGTTCAAGAAGGGAGCAAAAAAAGATCCCGTAATTGTAAACCTCCTGGAATGTGATCCTGATCCGGACAGCTGAGCATTGCATTTGGTAAAATGACATTGTGACATTCTAGATATATAAATTGTTTTTTCTCTTTCTGAAGTTTTGGAAATTCAGCATGACGAAAACAATTCAATGTTGTGAATTGAGCATACTCATGATTTAATATACATACAATATGATTTTCCTTCCTACCTTACGCATTTTCCTCTTCGCTTTTGTCGTCATTCATTCTTTTAGTACTTTCGTAACACTGCAATACCGTTTGTCTTAGTGCTTTCATTTATCGAATTTAGTCTGCTCATACCTGCCACAGACTTCAGTCGTTCTCTAGGATTTAATTAAAGTCTAAAGGGTCAAGGCCAGGATCACTGAGGTATAAAATAGATGTTCTTTCTTTTCATAATCTGTTAAAACTATGTCTTTTTTTGCACTGTCACAACAGTTTCGAGGAGCATAATCCCTCGTGGAACATCACCCATCGTGTCCATCAGGGATCATAACTATAGAACCTATCGGTGCTCTTGTTAATTCAACAAACTCATATTCTTATAAGTAAACTCAAGCGAATGTTTTGTAAAAGATTTATTATTTAGTTGAAAAAAAATAGCAAACTTCAGAAATGTGTTTTTCTTGTTTCTTTAGCATATCATCTGTCGAATTAACTGGATGACCTGCGAATCTGAATTATAACAAGTAATTATCATTTCCTGCATGTGGCGTAAAAGGGTTATACATGAATGTATAAGACAATAAATCATTTTAGCATACATTCATTCTTTATTAATATAAAATTGGGACACTTTCTGTTTAAGATAACTTTACTGGTGACAAAGGCCAATCGTTTCGTTTCCAGCTGGTTGAAGGAGAACATCGAGATTACTTGTCAGGTGGAAAGACATTGTGTTGGAAGCTATAAGCTTATTGAAACACTCGAAAACCAACCGGTACTGAGCAATGACTGGTAGTTTCTTGCTCATAGAAACAACGGCTTGCCTCTGAAAGGGTTTGAACCATCATGTACCATAATCATTTAGTATCGACTTATTTTTAATTGTGTAGTCATCAATTTGACTACTTTAGGAATATAACGTACGGGTACGTTAAGATGACCGTCGTTTTAATACCGCTTTATGATGATTTAACAACAAACGTATGTGATATAAGTTATCATAAGACAGTATCCGAAATATTATGGTTGCTTATGAAAAATATGATATGTTAACTTCAAAAGAAAAGTACATAGTATTTAGTTACAAACTTGTATATCCTAAAGTGTAAACACTGGATCAGTTTTCATGTCATACAATTCAACGAGCACACTTTATTTACAAAAAAAAACGCAAATAAACAAGGAAGAGTATGATACGGTGTTTCGTTAGGGTCAGCGCGTTTTCTCTGAGAACGAAAATCGTGAAAAATGACAGTTCGATGTCGACAGTACGATGGTGACAATACGACTGTACGATGGCGAAGCACGACAGCACGATGATG